TCAAAGAATTGAGTGATAAAAAATATCAATCAATCTTATGGACCCCCTTGGGCTTCAATTCCACCCTGTGCGCGGGTGAGCGTGTGGGCGGCTGCTGCTGCTGCTGCTGCTGCTGCCGCTGCTGCTGCTGCTGCTGGCAACACGACTTGCATGATATATTGATGATTATTGATGAATACATGGGAGAAGCCGAAGATGGAGGACCTGCACTCTCGAACTGCAGTTGAGCAGGGGTGCCCTCAATCGGTCCTACTAGTTGGTGGAAGTGCACGTCGGCAATCTGGTCTAGCACATTTTTACCCGGCAAGGTAGCAAGTTCGATATGGAGAGGTAGTTTCCGGGAATTGGCGCATGAACGCCATTGAAGCTGAAGTCTGGTGCTGTTCTGTGCATCCCAAGTGCGTATATCGTGCACACCCACGACACCGATAGGTGTGATCATCTGGAGCAGATCAAACGCAACAGAACCGGAGACCTATTGGCAGCAGTATCAATGCCATTGGGACGTTCGACGTCCGTCCAATGCCTACTGCCAAGCCCCCCCTCCATCGACGCCGGCAAGTACAGCAGCACCACTTGCCAAGGCACCGCCAAATAAAGGCAAAAGCGGTGCGTGATGCGCACCAAGGCGCGCCACGCACGGCTGCCCAAGGTGGCCAATGTTGGGGACGATATGTGGCTTACCGAGGAGAATAGTGGGCGCGAGCCTCGAATGACCAATGGTGGTGGTATGATGGCTGAATTCATAAAAGGTGTGTGGGTGTGAGCCGTTAGCTGCAAAACTTGTGCCCATGAACCACTTCCATTGACGACTGCTAACTCACGCGCCGTTCGTGAAAGCAGAGGGGGGTGTTGAAATACACCGCCCGATGCTACTGTTTTGCGTGCGGTGCCACTTTGCAGCATTGCAGCTCAAGAGCGTAAAAAGGAGCGCTTAGCAGTTGCTAGCTTAACGGGCTTGACCTAATTTCAGTGGCCGCGTTTGAAAATGCAGAACCTGTGAGAACTGGGCGGCGCACTGTTTCAGCGGCTTCACCTTTGTCCCGCCTGGATGTTCACATCTTCAGTTTTTATTTGTTGCTGCCGGGCCCCCGTTTGGTACAATATTTTCAGCCTGCGGGGCGGGTGGATTTTCAATCTGTCACCTGGTAAAGGTCCCCACTTTTGCAACCTGATGGTTTTTTGCTTGCAAGGTAGCCGGCCGCCGCAGTTTTGCAAATGTCAATGCGTGGACAGGCCTCAGGCACAGGCGCTCCCAACATGCGACCTCAATTAACCACCACTCCCCGGCTATAAATTTTCGGACAAGGAATGTGTTTGTTTTAGAAGGAATAGGGACACCCTTCCTCACCATGGCAGCGGGCGAAACTGAACCGATTTGGCAGGAGGTCCGAGCCCCAAGGAATGAAAACGGGAGCGCATCAACCTTCCGAAACCTGAGCGCAGCTCCAGAGCTCGGGCGCAACTACGCTTTGAAGTTCGAGCGGGGCTACTACAAAGCATCGAAATATGCGTCGCAGATGCAGTGGCAGGGTGACCACGCAGGAACCCTTCGAAACCTTAGTGCCGTCGCTCTCGTGCGGCGGGGGGTGACCAAGCTGTGGCAGTTTGACTATGCAGGGGCCCTCCAAGACCTGGACCAAGCCATGACAGACGAAGCATTGAAACTCCATCCCAACTATGTGTTCGCTCTTATTATCCGGGGTTGGATCAAGCAGTCACAGGGTGACCACGCAGGAACCCTCCAAGACCTGGACGAAGCATTGAAACTCAAACCCAATTATGAAATCGCGCTCGCGAAGCGGGGGGAGACCAAGCGGATGCAGGGTGACTACGCAGGAGCCCTTCGAGACCTGGACGAAGCATTGAAACTCAAACCCAAGTATGGTTTCGCTCTTACATGCCGGGGGGCGACCAAGCAGTTGCAGGGTGACCACGCAGGAGCCCTCCGAGAGAAGCATTGAAACTCAATCCCTCCATGACTTTTGTTTATATATTTAGGTCACAGCACAACCTGTCGCTGGGTGACCAGGCAGCGGCCCTGCGAGACTTGGACGAACTACACAATCTTGAGGCCAACCGTGCCTTCGCTCTTACATGCCGGGGTGAGGCCAAGCGGATGCAGGGCGACCACGCAGGAGCCCTCCGAGACCTGGACGAAACATTGAAACTCGATCCCAAATATGCCTTCGCTCTCGCGACGCGGGGCGCGACCAAGCGAGAGCAGAGAGACTACGCAGGAGCCCTCCGAGACCTGGACGAAGCATTGAAACTTGATCCCAAATATGCCCTCGCTCTCGCGACGCGGGGGGCGACCAAGCGGATGCAGGGTCACTACGCAGGAGCCCTCCGAGACCTGGACGAAGCATTGAAACTCGAGCCCAACCAAGCGGATGCTCAGGGTGACTAGGCAGGAGCCCTCCGAGACCTGGACGAAGCATTGAAATTCGAGCCCAACCAAGCGGATGCTCAGGGTGACTACGCAGGAACCTTCCGAGACCGACGAAGCATCCAACAATGCCCTGGCTCTTACGCGCCGGGGTGAGGTCAAGCGGCTGCAGGGCGACCACGCAGGAGCCCTCCGAGACCTGCACGATGCTTTGAAGCTCGAACCCAACCATGCTGTTGAGGCCGTTGCCCTGAAGATGTTGCAAGTGCTGCCACTGGAGACAAGGTGGCTTAATTTCACAAAACCAGGCAGTTTGGATGTTTGGCAGGCTTGTCCAATGATTGAACTAAAGAGATGGGCAATTATTGGAGCTGGTCCTGTTGGCCTTGCTTTGGTGTCAGCACTTGCGGAGTCTTTTGCAAACTCGGGATATAGCACGGACGAGTATTCCATTCATCTCTATGAAAGTCGTTGGATCCAGCGGAGGCAAGGAGAGTCCAAGTGGAAGAGGAGGGAAGGATTTCCTGCCAGAGGTCAAGTCGTCACTTTGCAAGATTCTGTTGTCAATTTGTTCAGCGAAAGAGTGCGGCTCTGCTTCGAAGGTGAGCGGGTTTGGTCCAGCTCCAGGAACGTGCCAATATCCGAGATTGAAGACAAATTGCTTGCAAATATACAGGACGAGAACTTTGGTGGTTCACACTACGTAGCAATCCACAGATACAGGACACATTCAGAGCTCCAAACCCATGCTTCATGGATCGAGGGGCTGGATGCAGACATTGTGGTGGGTGCTGACGGAGGTGCGTCAATGACACGGAGGGCATTCAAAGGTGCCTTTGTTTCGCCCCAAGCCTCGGGTGCCAATGTAGAGGAGGAGCGCATCCGACTGGGGGAGGCAGACAGCCAGCTTGTTGGGCAAGATTACGCTTTGGGCATTGCTTTGCGTGAAGACCGCCAGCCTCCCCAGCGGCAAGCTTTGAATGTGATATTCACCCTGGCCCAAAATATGTACCTGCGGAACTCTAAAGGTGGTTCACAAGGGTTTCTGAACATCCGGCTCACCAAAGAGGAGTACGACGAGATTTTTCGGGCAACAAATAAACAAGGTTGTGCTTTTGGATCTCCCATAGACCTTGTTGGATCAGATGATTATGTTACAGATGAAGTGGTGCCAACCAGGGCAAGAACACAAGTGCGTAATTTGCCATGGTTGCGGCGAAGGATCGATGAAGGCCTCAAGTTGTTCAACATGCGACCACAAAACCAAGACATCATCACGGGTTTTTTGCTGGCGCCCGCTTACGTGCAGTGTTTTTATCATGCACTTCCTCAAGCGACGCATCGCAAAGTGTTGCTTTTGGCGGGTGACGCGGCAATTTCGCATCATTTTTGGCCAGGCCGTGGACTGAACACAGGCCTCAAGAGTGCATTTGCGCTTGTGAAGATGTTCAGCATGCCCTTGGTTGCACAAGGTGTGAAACAGTACAACACCTTCATGGAGAGACTTCGCGAGCGTGAGATGCAGGGGCGATCTGCTCCTATGATGCGAAAGGATATGCAACTCCACTGGCAAGATACGCTATTGCCACGTGAGCCCACCTTTTTCCAACGTTTGATGGGACAAGGGGGCAGTGTGGAAAGAGCCCAACAGTTTGCCAACATGGCCCAAAGGGACTATGAAACAAATTTGGCAAACTTCGTGGACAATTGCAAAAAGTGGCGGACCTTTTTGGAGGGGCAAAGCGGATGGCCCCATGATGAAGTCACCGATGATGAATTGAACATTCTGACAACCGCTTCGAGGAGACCACGGCCTTTGGAGTTGCAGCTCATGCTTTCCAGCGCTTTTACAAGCTATGAGGAGGGTCGCCAACCCGCAGCGGGGTGGCCAACATCATTGCAGCGTGGCCGTGAAGTTGATCCAGGCGAAGATACCTACTGGAACTGACAGTCTCTCATCTGCGATGCACAAGCTGCGTAGTGCTCGTGAAAGATATCAGAAAGAGGAACATGGCCTCTCCATTCATACCGTTCATGTTTTGCCTCGTTTCCCGTGCAGTTGGGAGATAAGAGAAAATGCATGATGAACTACGACCGCCACAGGTGCTCAGGTGCGCCTCATATCGGCGGCACTTCAATGTAGCCTTTAAACGGCCAGAAGATGCAAAGGAAGAAGTCTCCTGCAATACTTGTACAAAGCGATTCCCAAAACACACATCTTGCCTGGCCACCTGGCCTTCATTTGTGATATGATATGAATGATGGGAACCACACATTCATCAGTTTCAGTCTCAGTCATGCAACATCTACAGGGCCACACGTTCGCTGCCCCGTTTGTGTCTCGGAGCCGATGGCCTGCCAGCGTGGCATGTGGAGATGGAAAGGCGATCAAAAAAATCATCCTTCATTTTGCCAATGTCATCATTCGTTGGATACCGTTGGATATGTTTTGAAACTGAATTCCTTTATTTCTTGAGTTTTTGCAAGTCTTGGAGGTGAGGAAGGTTGTTCATGAGGCCACCGCATAACTTTCCGGGTGGTTGAAAGTGATGTTTGAACATGGGGGTTTCAACTCTTGTTGCCAGGGGTGGCCAGTAATCACACCAGTTGGAACCTGTTGTTTTTTCATGGAAGCGTGCCCGCCCGCCCAAGCCACTATATTATAATATATTATATATATACATTGGCTGAAGCAACCAAAACAAGGAGCTCCCAGTGTACACTTTTGGGCCTTGCACTCTTTCTCACTGCTCACGTTTGGTTCACACACCTGTGGCAAGTTTGCGGCATTTGCCCACGCAGATTTTGTTGCTCCCAGCTTGCCTGGAGAACTCAAGCCTTTTGTTGATAAATGTGTGGTGCGATATATATTTTCAGTGAGATCGCTTGAAACATTTTGAAGCAGTGATTACTCAAACACATGTTCCTTTAATGTGTCAGTTCGGTTGTAAGTTCAGGGGTGGCACGTGCACCCACAAAGGCATCAAGAACAATCCCGTGCAAGAGATCTGTTCGTTTGCAGCAGGCAGCAGGAGTCTTTCTAAAACTCTAAAACGTGCCATGGTAAAAACATGCATAATTCCGTTTCCCTACATTGCATGATTTTCCAACAATGTTTTCAGCATTGAAGCACGATGTGTATCGAGGGTTGGGCCTGAATTCTGCACGGATCGCGCACAAGCACTCACAGTGCAAAGAGTGGAACTTGCACGCACCTTGTATAAGGGTTTCCGGAAACAAGAATGCTTGTTCAGCTAGGCAACCATACGTTTGCAGGTGCACGGTGCAAGGTGCCAAATTTGCATGTTCTTTGTTGCACTCTGCTCACTCAACCACATTGGCGAATGTGCCCCAATGCAGGGCAACACTTTCGGCACAAAGACCCCTCATCAGCACCATGCAGGCAAACAATATGCCAAATAATGGGGAAGCCAACAGGCAAAGATCAGCAAAGTGTCGACAGGCAAAGATAGCTCTGGCGGTGACTTGGCAGGTCCACTCCTCAGGTCGTCTCCTCAGTCGCTTTGATTGGGAGACGGGACACCGATTTTCTTTTGACACGTTCACTCTTGTACTGTTGTCCTTGTAAGGCCTTTTGGTGGCGATGAAAAGACAGCTTAAAAACTTCCCACATTTACGCCAACAAAAGCAGGGGCCTTGTTTTTGCGAGATCCGTTGCTTGCAGCGACCAGTTGGCCATGAACCTATGTTGCGTGCACGATCCCTATCTAGCATTCAGATGCAACAAGCATGCGATGAAGGGGATCCACATCCCTTCGCATTGTGTTCGCATCGGCACATTCCAACAGTCCAGTTGGCTGACATTGGAGGCATGAGCTGCAAGGAGCACCTGAGGCCACTTTTTCTGGAGCACGTCGAAAATGATTTTGCTGTTTGGTCATGTGAACAAGGCAAGCACCCAACAGCGCAAAGCACCACCACCTGGAGTCTTGCGCTCAGGGTAGCTCAAGATAGTGCACGCTGCACACTTTGGATTTTCCATGGCGTGCTTTTGGCTGGAGGTTGGTGTTGCTCCTGCCATGCCAGACCCCCGGGTTGTGGCAAAGGACCGCCCGATCCTTAACAGTCCACATTTGAGCAGTTCATTTGTACCGCCTCGAGGGGCACCATGACCGAAGAAAATTCATGAGCTGCAATAGATAATGATATAGCCAGCAATGGTCAATAGTTGTGATCAAGCTGCAAGCTGGTGCAGGACAAGTCTTCGCTTGATAGAGAGGCTGCCAGCCTTTCGTGCTTTGACCGGCCGTTGCTTGGATGAATCATGATAGAGGGCCAATAGAGGGGATGTTTGCTAGCCCGTTGTTTTGGGTAGCGTTGGATCACCAAGGTTCGCGAAGCTCGAAGGACTGCTTGTTACTCCACTTAGTAGAGAAGCCACTGCTACCCACGATAATGCTGAGACATATGACTCTCTTCACCAATTTCAACATTGCACATGCACGAGGTTCACAAACACATTGAAGATTTTCAGCCTCCTCCATCTATTTGTTTGCTTTCTCAGACGGAGTCTTGGCGGCTACCGCGTGGCTTGCCCTCGGCCTGGGGCTTTGCCGTTTTGCGGAGCTGTGGCTGTCCTTTCAAACGGCTTGCTGCCTGGGTTTTGTCGGGAAACTGGTGGCCGAGTCACTGCCCGCACAGTCCTGTCGGTGGATCGCTTGGAATTGCTTGGATGAATGGCGGCTCGAAGTCGTTGTCAATGTCTTTATAAACTTGTGGAATTGTGGTCAGCTGTTGACTGTTGACACCAATTTATATAGTCCCCGAAGTCCAGGGAGCTGCCCTGGCCGAAGCTCGTCAAGGACTTACCCTCAACTCCTCAGGTCCCAGGTCCCGGCCTGTTGTTGAGATTGATGCTCGTCGTGAAGAGGCTGCTCGCTTCCTGCACTTGTTGGCTTCTTCCCGCCTTCGCTATGTGCTTGTTGCACCTCTTGCGTCGGAGTACTTCGGTGGCCTTCGGGCCTTCGTCTCTCAGTGGCCCGTCCTTCTCGCTCCTGCGGGTTTCCAAGCCTTTGCGACGTGCCTGCAGGGCACCTCCTCCCGGTCACCAGCCGACTCCCGGAGGATGACCGGGTCATCAACCGCGTTTTCAGCTTTGCTTTCACATGCTTTTGCTTAGACATGCTTAGACTTTTGGACTTGTTTCCCCCACGTTTCACCTGCCTGCAGAGAAAAAAGGCTCACCTGTTTCATGCAGAGGGTGTTGGAAAAAAGTCTTTGTGTCACTTATAGGTGGTTTTCTCGAGATCTCTCATTTTTACTAAGACAAAAGTATGCTTGCTATTGGGAACGGAGTTTTTCATTTATGCAGGCCGCACTTTTCCATCCCTCAAGTGACCTTTAACTAGAGCTGCACCTGGATGGCGTTTTATATTAACACCCTTGCCAGCTGCCAAGCTGCTGGGAAAGTTTTATCTCGTGCCGTCCATTCTATAAACACCATGTTGTGTAGAAGGCCCGGCAAGTGACCCCAACCATCATTCACAGGGGATGGCACATGTATATTTCTACAACTTCAGGCTGTTGTTCTCTTGGTCATGATCGCTTGGACCCTTGCACCCGCTTCGCGCATTGGCTTGGCCACACGGTTGAGGTGCTCCTTTGCCGACTAAGCGGCAACTTCGACCCTGCCTTCCTGTGGAGGAGAAAAGTGGGCACCCAGGATGGACACCACCCATACACCTGCCCCTCATCGAAACCAGCGCAGCCAAGTCTGAAAAGACTTCGCCACCCTCCCCACTGTGAATAGCGACTTTTCGGCCCAAAAGGTCATCGTCTGTGAGTGCCACCACATTCCTCAGCGCGTACGACCACCTCTCACGCTGCAGTGAGATGCCCGGCTCGCTGCCCTCCTCCACCTTTGTCCTATGACCCTCTTTCCCAGCCTCGTTGCAGCCTGATTCCGAGGGCTAGGCGCTAGATCGAAACCTCTTTTGCGGCAAGTTCTTATGCAGCGAGTTCAAAGGTAAAGGATATTTTGTGTTGCCTTTGCGAAGCGAGTTGTTTGCAAAAAGGATTAGGCGTACCCGAAAGCCTTGGCCAGTTCTGTGGCCAATGTTTTTCAAAAGGTCTGGACCGGAGAAAATTCATCTCACAGGGTTTCACTACATACACAGTCCTTTTTCTTTACGTGACATTGTTTCCGGAACATTTTCCCACGCAGGATGTGCAACAGGATCAAAGCAAAGTAGAGACTTGGCAGTTGGAATTGTGGAGATAGGTGCGGGACGATGGACAACAGGGCCGGCGGAAGGTGCTCAACGGTTTTCAATCAATGGCGCCGACACCTGAGGGACCGAGCAAGATACCAACAAGTTTCATGATAGTTTGGTTTCTGCACTGGCCAGCGTGACTCTCAGAATGTTTGCAGCCAATGTTCGCCAACATTTGTTGCGTTGCATCTAAGCAGTGCGGCGAGGTTTGCCAAACAGTCAGCAGTGGCTGAGTGCCCTGGTGGGTGAACTAGCCACCAGGCCGCGGCATGAAACCCGAACATGCTTCTTGACCGCAATGTTGCATAGAAAGAGGTATGCAACTTACATCAAATGTTTTCTTCATCCCTAAGCTGCTGCAGCCTGTGCGGAGCTGAACTGACCAATACTGGTCGCGATTCGGACCCCGAGACGCTGTGAACCAAAATGGCACTCTCCGCCCGAGACAAAGACGCAAGGTTTGTCATGGTGACTTGGAAATCTGTAGGTGATTCCCGTTGTTTAGAATTTTCCACACTCGGTTCTTTTGTGTGCAAGCACTGTGCCAGCACAAGGAAAATGATTTGATGTTTGAGTTGTCAACCAAAACTGCGCAATAGCAACAGCATGCCACATTTTTTCCCACATGGTGTAACATCGCAAAACCTGACATGACACACCTTGTACATCGCAAACCCAACACGCAACCTGATGGTTTCACAGTTTGGTTAGGTGTAGCCAGACTCAACACGTGCAACAGCTCTTCACCAATTGGCAATGTTGATGTTTGAAGCTGCCCTCCCACTCCGGCTGTGTCCATCTCGTCCAATCGAAGATGCTCGTTGGCAAAGGGCCTCAGCAACAGTAATTATTGTTTTTTGCGCGGGCCATTGTCAATCGGCAGCTGTGAAGTCACTCCCTCTAACATAGTGCAACTGCATTCCGCTCTTCGCATTCCATAGCTGCCTCATGCCAGCCGAATTCACCACCTTGTGGTTGCAAATCTCCATTAGTCATACATCAGTTGATGTTGCTGGTTTTGTTTTAGAGCCTTCCTAGTTGCCTGCTTTTTGAAAGCTTCAGTAGCAGCAGCGAGTTTAATGGGAAAGTGGCTAGCATTCCCAATTAGTTATGTCACACCCATACAGGGTCGTGCATGATGGCTGACTGAGGTGTGGCGCGTGTGCGCAAATTGGCACCCGAGGACTGGCTTGACAGACCAAAAACCTGACGGTGCCTGTGCCGGGTTGCATTTTGCTGTGAGGAAACTCAGAAAATGATTGACGAAGCAAAGCGTGACGCACCTGACATCTGGGCTAAGGCCTGCCTCCTGACACCTTGGCAGTGGGTGACAAAAATGTTCCTTGTGCATTTTGTGCTGCGGAGGTTGCCGTGGAGCGAATCCTTGAAAGTGGTTCTTCACAGCTTATGCCAAGTGCGTCGGCGACGTCTGCTTGTTCCTGAGCGTGTGCAAGGAAGACACCATGCCAAAGTTATGATGAGCGCTTTGGGTTTGAGGTGAAGACATTGGCATCACGCTTCGCTTACGTACCCAAGCACGGTTTCAGGTGAAGACATTTCCGTTGTTTTCCTGCGAGTCTTTGGGCCTTCTCAACCAATGGGCCATGTCTGCAACGGCTTCCAAGGTCTCCAGTGAGATCACCTGCCCTTCAGGATGTGCGGGCTTGACCAGGCACGTGGCTTGCATTGAATGAGTGATGCAACACCAAGACCGTGGCGATGTCAGGTATGGGCACAGGGTCGGTGACTTGAGCAAGTATGCAGCAATGGAACGCAACTTGGTTGACATGTGACTTGCACTTGGATAGACACAAGACTTCGCGGACATCGTGGGCAGACGGAGAAAATATCTTAGGCGAAAACCAACTGACCTCTGTGCTCGCCTACTGCCCGACATGTGAACTGATCTTTGATGCCACTATTTGAACATGACCCTTGCCATTCCAGAGTGGGTGTGCCGCTTGTGCTAGTTCCAGCCGGTGACATCCGCAAAGGGGAGTCCAGGCCTTTGACATTCTGGCATCGATGCAGATAAACCGACAGCTCAGAGAGGTGAATCACTGTCCAGTTGAACAATCCGTTCGGCCTTCGGTGTGAGTGGTGTGATGTGGCCTCAAGGTGGCAGAGGGACCCATGGGGTATCTCCCAGAGCGACAAGGAGACCGAAATGAAGTTGAGCGATCTACACCATGCAAAAAGCGGCCACAAAGAGAAATGCCTGCACACAGTCGCCGCATGTTCTACAGTGGAGAGACCGGTGATGCTACGCCCTTCTTCCACCGCCTGGGCAAGACGAATTGCAACGCTGCCGTGAAGAAGACACCATCGGAGGCTTCCAGGTGCGACGACCGTGGTGCAGCTCTACAGCGCTCGTTCCACCGGCGCCAAACCAGCGCCCGGAGCCGTGGTGCAAAATGCGATGTTGCGAGCAAAGGAATGTTCAAGAGTCTAGCAGATTGCAGCCTTGGTCCTGGTTCCTTCTTTTGGCTCAGAATGAGAAATGCCCAATAAACAGATCTTTAGCAAACTTGTTTGGCAATTGTTTTTTTTCTAATTATTAGGGCTATTGGCCCCAAGTCCCTAATGGTTCAAAGTTAACTGTGAAATCTAAGGATGTTTGGCAGTGTTTAACTTCGACATGTTGTCAGAAGTTTGCCTACCAGTCAGACTGTCACATGACCACCCACAATAAGGAAAACATTCCTAATGGCATTGGTCCTGGCTATCATTTACCAGCCTTTTGTGTTGCTGACTGTTCTTTGGTGTGGCTGATGGACATGGTCAAGAAGGACGTTGGAATGTGATGGTAAACGCCCTTGCCAACTTCATCTTTTTGCTCGAACCTTGATTGAAATTGCCTTGGGCCTTTGATCCTTAAAAGGGGCTGGGACAGGTGCCATAGCAAGTTTGGCCCGAACCAGCTGAGGCTGCCATTGTCGCGGGTGACCAGTGACTTTCTTGCACCGGCATGCAATGCCTTTGTCGGCGAATGCGAGTCAAGTGTGGGTCGGGTCGGTGTGGTTGTAGAACGATCTGAGGTATGTCGTCCGTGACCCTGTTCGTGTGAACTATGAATTGCCAGTTCAGCTGAAGGATGGACGGGAAGTCACTGTTGTCACACGGAGTGACTTCAGCACCCCGGCAGCAAAACTTAGTCAAAGCCCGTGATGGGGTGTAAGTTAGATTATAGCTACAATTGCAACATATCACATTGGTATATACGTAAACATGAATATACATGCATATATGTATTGTTTCTTTTATGTAGTTAGTAAGACTACATAAATATCCTTTCTAAATATATATATATATCTATATATTATAGTGCGGTGCACTATTATAGAAGAAATGTACCTAGGTAAGATTAGGTACATATTCTATTTGCACCGGCCAGGGGTAACTGGAAGATATATACAGTTTGATTTTGTTGATGCACACATTAATTGCAGGGGTCCTGCAGTATATTCTATTTAGAGCTGACGGGGGTGAACTGAAAAAAGGTGTATCACGTGGTAAGCTCAGCGACTGAGGGCCAAGAGGAAACCAAAAGGAATCAAAGGGAAATCCAAAAGAATCAAAAGGAAACCAAAAGGAAGTCAAAAGAACATCAAAAGGAATCAACAGGAAATCAAAAGGGAATCAAAAAGAACCAAAAAGAATTCAAAAGGAATAGAATGGCATTTAACAGGAATTAAAAAAGGAATCAAAAGGAAATCAGAAAAATCAAAAGGAATTAAAATGACAGAATTGACAGTGACAATGCGGGAAAAAGATACTGTTTTCTGCTCCGGATGCTGGACATTTGCAGGAAAGTCAGCGTCTACTCTTCACTTTTTTTGTCTATTTATTGGTGCCTTTTTTTTATGACCTTCTATTTGCATACGCCCGGAAATGCCTTCTATTTGGAACCTTCCGGTTTATAGGGAAAAATGAGCTCTTCTATTTACAAAAAAACGGTATTTTTTTATAATAGTGCACAGCACTATATATTCCTACACAGACCGTAGAGTTCTTGTGCTGCAAGTCGACCTCTGACATGCGCTGCCGAGTGTATGGATATGTGTGAATTGAGGCACAGGGCTGCCAGTGTTTGAAGTAAAAGACCTCCTGACCGAAGAGGACTGGTCTCCTTGCACACGAAAAAATCATGGAGAGGGATCAAAAACATGTCAATGTTTGGTACGTTGCAGCGGGTTTGGTGGAGTTGGGCTTGGCTTAATTAAGCCTAGAGATCACAACACAAGGTTACCACCAAGAACGTATATAACATACAAAATCAAAAATGCATCAAAGAAGAAGTGCCCCCTCACACCTTGGTCACCTCGGTCCCTTGCTTTGGTTTGCTCGGTCTCCTTGTGTCGCCCGTGGATGTCGGGCCGTTGGGGTCTCGGTGGGTTCCAATAACTTGACTCCACAACCTGACTTGTGGAAACTCACCAATGCAAACCTCAATGGAGCCCGCCTCGAAATGCGGTATATAGAGCATACCAATGCGCCCTTGGAATCTTTCTCGCCATTTTGTATTGACCCACCTGGAAAAGGTGTTGCCGTACTTTCTGTATTGGGATCCTTACTGCGTTGTGCTAAGAGCACCCTTTGTCATAAGATTTGAGCATGGAGGAGTGCAATGCTATTCGGTCAGCGGCACCAAAAGAAATGTTGGAAAGGAGTTTTGGCCTCAGTAACGGAGAGGAAACTGAGAGTCTAGATGTTTCCCCTCAGTATGAGGTGAGACGTCGACGGACAAAGGCAAACCCATCAGTGCAAAGAGGGCAGCCAAGATCTTCAAGAATCTTGATGACTCTTGGAGCAGCTATTGACTCCCCCTCAACTGTCCAGACCACTGTCACAGATGAATTCTGAGACCTTTCGACCAGCCAAAGGAGAACCGGGACAAGTCCTTGGATGCCGAGGAAATCGCCGAGTTCTTTAAAGAGGCTTCAAGCTGAAAACACCGGAATGCACGGACTTTTGGATGAAGCTATCCTGAACCCAGTGCAGGCTGCAGATATGGTGGACTTTAGTTGGGAGTTTCTCACCGCGAGGCAGGCGTGAAGAGCTTGTAAGCCAAGTCTCTTGCTAGTTCTTGTGATCCAGGCTGCCCAACATCGCAACAACTGGTCTGAAGGCTGGGATGCACTTGAGGTGCATGATTTCTGGAGAAATCCGGCCGATTTTGTAGATGTTATAGATGTAAAAGACACTTTTTTATAAGTGGAGGTGGGAAAAGAGGAATTCATCACAGCTGACTGGGACGGTTTCTTCTCCTCGGCCAAGACGATGCATCCTGAATGGTTACTCGTACTGCATGCCTTGGTAGGATGTAGGATGGTGTGGAATGTCCTTTTGGGCCCAACTGAGAGCGATCGTGAATGGCTGTTTCTGGCCCAGGTTCGCTCGGCATTCACGACAAACTTGGATGGGGCGGCTTGGATTCAGCTTCGTATTGAGTCATAGTCATAGTGCGTCTTTATCATGTAAGTAGGGAACTCCTGTGAGATACATGCACTAGCACCGACAACACCTGTGGTACCATCGTGAAGGAGTTGCTACACACAATTGAAAACTATCGTGCAAGCACAATGGACAATGATGGGCATCAGCATCCCAAAACAAACCAAGGATAAACCATAGCCCCGCAATAGCACCTTGTTGCTATCCCCATGTTTCCACAAAACTCATGTTGTTTGCTTGGGTCGTTCCTTTCAGGGTGTTGACTTGAGTGAAAGACAAGTAACTTATGCAGCCACGCAAACATGAGGTTGTCTACAGGTTCTCTCACTTAATATACAGTACTCGTCATGACTTGCAAGCAGGCGCAAATCCATCCATTTGGCATTGTTCTTTCCGACAAAGCTATTTTCGGCTACAGCTATAGAAAGACAATGGAAGGCAACAGTACAGTTGTCCATGAACAACACCCTGCACCATGTCAGAGGTATTCTGATCATCCTTTCCTTGAGACAGTATTGGACAAAGTTGCCGCTGTGGCGAGCTTAGATCTTCTAGCAGGGTCCCTGCACAGTTCCCGGCTTTGTGAGCAATGCACATTGACGCGCGTGCCTGTCGCAAACGCTCGCAGTGCGCCGCAGGTCACGGGCTTGTCTGAAAGATTGGTGCGAAAAACAGCGGAACCTATGCAAGTCCTTCTCTATCCACCTCATGGAGGTCATTACTCTTGCCATCACGACACGGTGCCTAGGTGGAAGAATCATGAAACACATCGGGCGTTTGCCTTCTGCAGTGCATGGCGAGATCTTTGCCTTCTTTGTGACTGCACCGACCTGCATCTTAGCTGCACGACCTGAGGCTCCTGATGGACTAGATGATGCACGCTTCATGACTGTGTTCTTCTTCCTGAACGATGTGGCAGATGGTGGTGAGACAGTGCTTTTCGGGACCGACTTGAACGGCACCTTTCCAGAAGACCGCGCGTTTGCAGGGGAACCATGGCAGAAAAAAGCATTACGCCATTTGAAAGTTGCACCAATCAGATGCTGGATGACTAAGTTTTGGTTGTTTTTCATTCCAAAATTCGTGGTCTTCTAGGCTGTCACATGACCTCCCACGACCCATATTCAAACACTGCACGTTGGGCACTGAGGAGGATATTTGGGGCCCTATTGAGTCCCAATGCCAATCCGTGCTCAGCTGTCCACAGCCATCAAGGGGCCACGCAATGCCCCAACCCTTCTCATCCGCTTTGGCATCTAGGTTGCATTCCTATCCTAGCTGTTTGCATTCCTTGTATTGCGAGAAGTCCAAGCGACAAGTCTGCCTGAGGCAGTCAAACCACGCATGGGCACAGCCCTGTTTTGGTACAACATGGCCGTGGACCCGAAAGGCTTGAGAGAATGATGATGGGGTTGGATCTGTGAGAGACGTCAAAACCAACACAGCTGCCAAGACTATAGTGACAATCAAAAGGATCTTTATATATACACCGGTGAAAACTAACATTTTGGCCAATTCTTTTGTTTGGGGGGGGCATATGTTAGTCTAGTTTCCGAGCGGACACCGTTGAGACTAACTTAGACCAGATTCAGATGTGCCATGGTGGGCCCTACGGGTACTTGGCATGGTCCATGTTAGCCTCCACCGGGCTATGTTGACCTCTACCGGCACGGTCTATGTTAGCCTGCGTTCAGTTTATAGTCAGAGTGCAGTTGGTCCATGTTAGTGTCAAAATCGATCATAGACTGAGAGTAGGAACGGTCCATGTTAGCCACACGCCTGACTCAGGTGTGTGGAAAGTTTGTGTCAGTGTGGACCAGGGACTGAGAGTGGAAGTGGTCTATGTTAGCCACATGCCTCACTCGATATCTGGAAAACTTGGTGTCAGGTTGGACCGTGGACTGAGAGTAGCGAGAGTGGGAATGGTCCATGTTAGCTTTTGGGTGGGCCCATATCTTCTCGCTCCCACGCTGCTCCACACTGTCCTGGTTTTCTTTGCCCCTCTTCTATGTTAGGGCTTGCTGGCTGCAGATGCTCGAAATCCCAGTATCCGATATGTCCTAGGAATGCGCCGTTTCCAGTGTGCCATGTTGGCCTCCACCGTGCTAAAAGAGCTGTCTAGTTTTGCACCTGCAGTACATCGGTTGAGACTAACGTAGACCATGTTCAGGAGGCCCCTACAGGTATGTGACGTGGTCCATGTTAGCCTCCACCGGGCCATGTTGATCTCTACCGGCACGGTCTATGTTAGCCTGCGTTCAGTTTATAGTCAGAGTGCAGTTGGTCCATGTTAGAGTCAAAATCGATCATAGACTGAGAGTGGGGAACGGTCCATGTTAGTGAGGGTCCAGAAATTGCCAAAAAAGGCGCTAATACCGTTTCCCCAGGAAGTTGAAATTGAGTTACGGTCTATATATGTTGTTTTTCCCCGGAGTATATATTTTTACAGGTATAGATTTTATGTTCTTTCTTTTGACAATCGTTTTTTCTGTAGACTATTTAGTGGTTTTCCTTTCGGCCTGTTTTTTCTATAAACTTTTCTGTTTAGGTCAAACATGCACTCTCAATCCAAAGAGACTATGTATATATAGATAGGTTGGATCATGCTTGAACTTCTGCAGGCCACATTGGGCAGTTCTATTGGTCAAGCATCCACGGAGGCTGCCCCACCAGAGCTGACGAGAAGTGGGCGGCCAACGTTTGGCCTCTAAGAGCAACGTTCATTTCGTACGATTCGCTCACCACGATGCTTCACATGAATTCACATGACATGTTTTTCGATCTTCCTGTGTGCTCTTTGTTTACTATTGGCTTTGCACTCGTCCTCTTCAGGCTACATGCGAGGGCTAAGAAGTCCAGGAAGGAACTTTGAAGCTATTGAGCCCTGGGACGCCCTGAGACACCTGAGACCTGGTGAGACCTGGACATGCAGCTTGACGATCACCGACTTCATGTTTGGTATGGATGCGTAGCTGCCAGCGCGGGTGAGCTTGATGCGAAAATGGCCCTTGGCTGAGTGGGATGCAACATGCCAACGATGATTTTGGGTTTTTGTGGATCTCACCAAGGCTTGTTCTTCCATGCTCATTGGTAATGATGCAGAATACACAAGTAACAAGTATTTCAAGCATCGCTTAGATCAGGATGCATGAGTGGGCTTCGCTGCAGCTTTTGAGGGTTGACCAAGGGACAAAAGCAATAGTAGCCGACACGGGCTTGTACATTACTTTCCATAGCCGTGCCGCATGCTGAACTGCCAAAGAAGCAGAGAACTAGAAAGCATCTTGGAAGCACAGGTTCGGTGCACTTCATTGCTCCCCCATTGTTGAGCCCTCGCCCTGTCAGTACTCAGGCTTGAGCTCATGAAATGCGGTCGGGGTCATGAACTACACCTAACACATTTGCCCTGTGCTCGCAAGCACCGTTGCACAGCCACGGAGCCAAGAAGTGTTTTTCATTGCTTGCTTTGCCATTAGGATTTTCACTCTGCAGGCTTGTTTGGAAGATGTGGAACTTGACTTTCCTTTCTCCGAGGTTTGTCATGAAGTCATTCCAAGATCTGCCCGACGGTGCCCTGCCTGCGAATCCCGCGCTGTTTCTCCGAGTCGACCATATTCTCTCCTCGCTCCGCTCGAGCGGTGTGAGGTTCATGTGCCGGCGATGCAGCTACGACGTATGCTTCGACTGTGGGATGCATGACAACTGTTTGATTGATCGATCGAAGGACTCGAGACTCGGTGGCACTGTGGTCAGTCAACCAGACACTTGAGTTGGACAGGAGAGTTAGGTGAATGTAGCCAAGTTTTGTTGTAGTGATTTACAACTGAAGGGACGCCCAAGAATCAGGCAGAAGACCTTGCGCTCAGTCTTCAAGGAGTATGCGATGGGACATCAAAGAAGCCATGCGGCTGCAACTAGTTACTAATTGAAATAGGAAGATCCAGGAGCCAATGCACGATGAGACACTGCGAGGTGTGGCTATCAGCACCACTTATGACATCATTTCACCTAGTGATGGGCACATGCGGCGACACCAGCACAAGAGGCGCCTTCGCACATGTTGCAAGTTAGCCTAGTAGCCATCGTCAATATTGAACAATTTTCAAGAGGTGGATTGACTGGACAAATCCTCGCTTGAACTGATCGCGCTGTTTTGGTTTGTTGCAACGTCGGTGTTTGGAAATCACTGCCCAGGGGCCTGGGAGTTGGTGAGGACTGCAGGTATGCAGCCAGGAAACCTAGACACACCTTCAAGCACATTGCGCCGCCTGGTGCAGCGGCGAAGCACGCGAAGCGCGTTGCCGCGCACGTTGAACGCTGAGGTGTTCAGTGATGCCACGATGAACGTGGACACATTCCACTTACCAACACCATCGGAAAGGCCCAGTTCACGCAGCTCAGCAGCTGAAATGACTGGGAAAAAATCATGAAGAGACTCTCAAAAACGTGGCGCATGATGGCGCCCAATGCTGAGGAGAAACTCCATCATCATCCGATCCGACCATCGCAGCTTGCCTGTTTGTTTGAGCCAAGTTGGCCATGCGCAGAACAAAATCCCAGAGACCAAGATGTTTAGGGTCAAACAGCCGATTGAAAGTCTAAAGGTTTTGACTCTTTCCACGTTCCTTTTGACAAGGACTTGGCACGAGCAGCCACCTGCCAGCAAGTAGTCACCCTTGCTTTTTGCGCTGGTAGGGCCACAGAGTGTTGGCTTCGAGATCAACAGTGAGGAGGACTTTCACTCCCTCATTGCTGCTTTTAAAACTTACTTAAACGTGAATATACATATAGAGCGAGAGAGAGAGAGAGACAGATTTACTTGTTTAAAGATCGATAGGCATATGCATAATCCTATCCATATGAACTATGTTTATGCCTATGTGTTGTGCCTATACATGTGTTTATAGATGTTTGTGTTTCTTTGGGCCAACTGCACTCAGAGGATGGACTTTTTCGGAAAGTTGGCTTTCAGGTGGTGAAGCGCTGCATGCAGCTGGTGGATGTTGTCGCCGCTGAAGTGGCTGCCGGCTTCGATTGCCTGGACCACGAATGGCTGCCCAAGCGTGCGGAACTCAACCGACTCAATCACTGCGGGTGCAAGACCTCGGACACAAAAAACATCCAAAAAAACGCACTTTTTGCGTGGAAACTGGACATATTCTTGTAAATTGTGTGTGTGTGAGTTGTGCAACTGACCGGGATGGTTGGTTTGATGGCCAAGGTCCGAAGAGCTCAGTACAGAAAACCAAGACCCATCCTCAGAAGTCGGATTCGAAGATACGGAAAGGAGAAGGAACGAACGCAGGTTTCACCAAATCGTTTTTGCACCCCGCCTGCCCCAACCAAGTTCTTTGAGCAATGTAGGGGTACACATGTTACCTAAGGACCTAAGGGTCCTAAAGAGAAGATTGTGTCACCTCAGGAGTGGTTACTTGACCAAGCACCCGCGTCGTGGAATGGTCCTGTCACAAGCGCAGAGGCAGGTCCAGTGGTTGTTCATCACTTCATCAATTTCAATCTTCCTGAGTGGTGACTTAGGCGGTTCTTCGTTCTCTCACAAGGCAGGGGCATTTTGAGGATACGTAGGAGGGCTATACAATATTGTAAAAGAAAATTAGAACGTGTACTGCTTCGGCTCATGGTGCAGGCTTGCTCCAGTGGCACAAGGACGGCCATGTGGAGTAGGACAAAAGTCTATATATCAAGCAGCCACAGTCCAACACAGTGCCACACTGCAGGACGACTCCAAAAATTCAGAAGTGCTTGGTGCTCTTCGAATTGGCAGCACCACAAGTGTTGAGAACGATGAGGAGAGTGTGATAGTCTTTTGTCTTCGCATGTCTCTGCTGCGGTCGCTGCGAAAGGCCACGCGAAACGCGCGTGGCGTGGCTTGCAGGAGCTGCGCATCCAGACGGGTGATTCTCACTTGATCCTCACTTCTCCGGAAGGCGGTCACTGGGACATGATGGCCGCCACGGCCAGGTCACGGGAGAGAGATGTTTGCTCTTGTGACCGGGAGGTGATGTGCTAAAGGAGTGGGCAGAAGCACTTCGAAAAGAGGTGCGACTACTTTGTGCACAACGGAAGTGATGCTTGATGAGCGAGACTTTGTACGCTTGTTGTGTTCAGTTGGCGTTGAGGTTGACATTCTCAAGAGCCACTGTCACTTGAGGCACAAGACCCACCAGCCGAAGAACTGTTCTTTGCCGTGCACCCATGCCTGTAAGAGCCTCAGAGTGACGGAACTGTCCTGCTTACTTGCTGCTGCATGCGATCATTAGAAGGGATTGTTCATGGAAAGTGTGCGTGTTCGGCAGGTCAAGATCTAAAGATCTTAATTCATCGACTTGCCGCCCACCTAGCTTGGCCCGGTAGAATCCCGATGTTGCCACAAAAGACTTGGCTTCGCTTGTTGTGACAAGGCTTGGATGCCGAACCGAGCCTGTCACAGACTCGGATCATCAAAAAGGGAAACCATCCAAGTAGGGCAGCATTTGCTCAGGTTGGCCTGGCTTCTCGAGGGGGAAGATGCACCACGAGGCTATTCTGCTGCTACAGTGGCAACTTGGCCGTGAAGGACTGTGAAGGATGCACAATGATGCACGTATCATTATTTGCTATTATTTGGAATTTGGAGCCCGTCAGAAGAGCATGTGTTCCTAAGGGTATGTACGCTGAGAAGGCAAGTCCGTTTAAGCAGATGTGGCAGCTTCCCAATAGCAGCTTTCTATAGCATTTCAATGCAAGTGATGTTCCATCCATGTCGCTTGGTTCTGCGCAGATCGACACTTTGATTCGAGCAGCAACCGAGCTACAGAAGCTCCAGTCCCTTGGATCAGCCCTGCTATGCCTCACTGAAGCGCGCTAGTGGGTTTTGCCGTCGCATCTTCAAAGCTGCCTCTTCAATCTTCATCCATGATTAAAACAGAAGCAGTGTCCATTGTTATTGCTGCCAAGTTGCTAAGTTTCGATTTGGACTGATGGACAGATGCCCAGCCAAGGCCAATAGTGTCAGAGGTGACTGCACCAGTGAAGGTCTTTGGAATCCTGGCAGCCAGTGTTTTCCTGGTGGTCCACTGGATGGTTAGTGTCGTGACTGGTTTCAACAACAGTGGCCTCTTCCTATTTGGTTGGCCACTCTGATGGTCAGAAATAACATGACTGAAGGATGCTTATGGGATTGTAGCGTCGGACGGCGCGTTCTTTGCGTGATTTGTTTTTAAGTGGACTTTGTTGGGAGTTGCAGCTCCTGAGCTGAGCCGAGGAGACATTCACGGACAGCTCCGAGACCTTTTGCTTTTGTTTCACTTCTACGGGAGGCCAGAAATCTGCCCTCATGGTTTTTTTCCTGGGAATGCCTCAAAATATCGTGGGGATGAGCTTCTTGACCATGGTGGGGTTCTGGTGCTGACCAACTTGTTTGTCAATCTGTGTCCCTGCTTCCATGCGAGGCCAGATGATGATGAGGAGGACTGTATAAACCGACGCAAAGAAAGTCGCGACATGTCATGTCCTTGGACGCATGACTCACCTGAAAGTGTGCAGGAAGGTGACGATGAACCCATGTCCTATGTGCATCTTGGCTGAAATCTTTGGTATACTCGTACTGGCGATGCCAGGAACAATTCAGCTTCATGTTCTGAGCACCGAGGTTCAATGGGGATTGGGTAGATCGAGGCCGCCACCAGTTGGAAGTGATGCTTTTGATTCTCTCCCTGAAGAAGCTTGGTTTGCAAAAGCAGATGTGGGTCAGTGTGGGTTTAAAATGGCCCAAGAGAAAGAAATGCTTTTTGTGACCCAAATCCACCCAAGATTGATGAAAAAGATCTTCAATTCTGAAGCTGATGTTCTTATTGCGCCCAGGATCGTACACCCAAAGCAGGTGTGGCTCAACAGGGGCAATCACGAAGACCGTCAGCAAAACCTGCGCACCACCAAGATAGGCGGGGACGGAGTCGCGGCAACTGAAAGCTCGTGCGAATAAATGCTCAGGACTGTTCCAAGGGTGGATGATTAGGGCCTGGATGTTGGGATCAGCAACAACCAAGCCAGTTGTTGCTTTTGCGTCCTAGCCTTGTTTAAGATGGCAGGGCCAGGGTGACAAAACGGTTGAGTGTTTTCTGGCACAACTGAAATCGAATGACTGCACCCTTGAACCAGAAGACATCATTAAGGTGCATGAAGTCCATAAATCAGACACTGTAGATTCATAGAAGATATTTGATCGCGGAGCTATACCATAGACCTGGTGGTCCCATGCTGCTTTTTTGAAAAAGCTTGCGACCACGTGGTCTGGTTGAGCGGCCAGAGCCATATGTGAAGTGAGATGGAAGCCAGATTCCTTTAGAATTTGGCCGCTAGAAATGATGAAAGAAGTGCTGGGGAGCTGAGCAACTCAAAGATTACCGAACGGATTGGACCTCATAGTATGAATAGAGGTCCGCCAACTATATGCCCATATCGCGGTTTCATAGGGTATGAGACTACGATGCACATGCTTCATTGCGCAGCTCAAACTGAAGTTATCCCGCAAGGCAGCTTGGGCTTTGACAGAGCTTGTCCTTCACTTATTCTGTGGCACACACCGCACCGTTTGAAAGTGAATGAATGGTCAAGAACGCATGTGCAGCCGCTTGCTGCTTGAGGTTTTGAAGCACTAGGCGCGGAAGAGGGGCGAAGGATTTTTGAATCCTTCCAGTCCTTCTTCGAATGGTGCCACGGCTGCACCTGAAACCCTGGGCTGGGATGTCTTGCACCTGGAAACAATGCCTCTCAGATCTTCGGTTCAGACGTAATGGAACCCTCTTCATAAGGCACCTTTCAGGTTCTCCTTCAGTACCCACATGCAGTTGTGTGGCATGCGCGAACTTGGGACCTCGCGATGGCGCAAGACCACGCGAAGGCGCACCATGCGCCAGACCGTGCCACTCGTGCCCAAGGCTTCCGCTTGCTGCCCGCATCGAGCAAAAAGTCTTGGTGCTACATGGCGGCCTTGGGCCTGGTGTGGCCTGGCAGAAGTGGGGCCCGACTGGACGACCCTTCATCGCTGTTGCGCTCAATGTCTCATATTTGTTGTTTACTGTACTTATTACATGTTCCTTGGTGGTGGCGCGCCCGGATGAGAACGAGCACAGTGTTCAGATGATTTATGAACATTTGCGCCAAGTCGCACTCAGACCGGGGTGGCTAAGGACTGGACGTTGGAGGATCTCTCACAGGTTGAGAGGCCTTTGGTGTCCAAAGAGCTGCATTTTACTCTTGAAGGAGTGGCGCACTGGCTGCACAAACTCAAAGCTCCGGAGGGATGGTAAAACGGTTTTTGCTTATGCTTCAGTTGACCGGGGAGGGACTGCTAACCAATCGCATGTTCAGCAAGCACGAGGTGTTGGACATGTTTTGACCATTAGAGCACCGCGTTTTCTTGCATTTCTAGTCAAGTCGGACTCTTCCAAGGTGTACAACATCCTGTGGTCTGACCCTTTGACCCACAAGCCATAGCCTTAAGGGCGACATGTCCGTGTCCAATGGCACTGACACCCTCCACCAGGCCCGAAAATCGCCGGGATCCTTTGAAGAGCTTTGGCGTTCTCAGCTCAGCCGTTGGGCGCAGCATTTTCGATTCTTGAACAAAACCACTGGTGACTAGCACGTGTTGAGGTGCATGACAGTCGGAGTCTTAAAGAGAGCGCAGGGTAGCATCTCGAGGGATCTAATTTGTATGCCTTCTAGATCATTCAATGCATTGAAAAGCTTGGCTTTTACACATAATCAATTACATACAGTCACTTCCTTCATCTTCCTTCCATCGGGTTGGCATGCTGGCCGCTGAATATACCCAAAACACCAGGTCCGCGTGACAAGCACTGGCAAGTCATGAAGAACTTCGGCCGTGGCTCCTGCATGTTTGGCTTGAACGATCTGCGGCTCGGGCTTCCCTCATGCGACGAGGGACGCTTCCATCGACTCCAGGTGATGTGACCCAGCGCTTCTGCAAAGCAGAAGGTCTCGAGCTCGTAATTCGAGTCTTGGAGGAAACGGGACGAAGATGGACGCAGAGTATGCATGATGCCTTCATTCGAGTGGTCACAAAAATGGTTGGTTCAGCAAAAAACGAACCATAAAACAAGACCCGTCTCAAAGGAGAGTTATAGTCTAAGCAACTCTGCCGAAAGCTCAGGATCGCATCAGTTTACCAACACATGCAAGGGCTATGAACTCATGCATGATGGCCCCTTGGCTGGGACGGACTGATTCCGTCTCTCCGCTTGCTTGGGCCGTGGGTCGGGCCACTCAGGCTACTTGCTGCGAGTGTTCTCAGCGCGAAACTACATGGGGTGGCTCAGCACAAAATATCGGAAGCTGAGAAATCGAGATTTGTGGCAGAAATCTCGAGTGGCAGAAAAATCTGAGGACAGTCCCCAACGATGGCGGAATGCTTTTGAACCTGGGACATTCAATGTATTAAGTAGTGTGATATCAAGTCAGTCACCTTTCGAAACCAAGAGACCAAAGCCATGATTCTCATTGAGGATTGGATACGGAGAAGATTCGTCGTGATCTGAGAGATGCAAGCATTATGGACCCCCGCTTGCGCCCACAGATGCCGGGGTCAAATCCAAAAACACCGCGGGCGGACCCTGAGAAGACGGAGGTATTGGTTCGTTCGTCAGAAAAACGGGATTGCCAAAAATGGCAAGGGATCGCAAGGGCCCCTCAAATAGAGCCTTTTAAAGGGCAGCCTTTACCTAACCATTATTTTGTTCCTCTCCTGTTCTCAGCCGACCAACTTCTTTGCATCGTTTCAGAGTAAAGCCACTCTACTTTTGAGTGAACTGAGGCGTGGCTCTGTATCACTTGTCGTGCGGCCACGCAGTGTGGAGCGCTTGACAGGACCAATTCAATGTCTCTTCGAGACCTTCTAAATCGGAGCCACCTCACCAGCAAACTTCCACCGGTTTTGCGCCAGAAATGGTGACTTCATGACGTTCTCAGGAGCTAACCGAGGCAGACAGAACACAGAATTGCCAGGCTGGAACAGACAGAGAAACTTCGTGCCCAGATGTTTCGGGGGTATGACTGGAATTCGACTGCGACTGCGAGGTTCTATTTTGAGCTACGAACCTTATTGCCCAAGAAAGCACTTGATGCAGCTCATCAAGCCCGAACAGGTGACAGAACAGCTGATTTTGTGTGTGAAGTTTGCCGATCTTCAAACGGATTTCCCGATCGAACTTCGCGCGGTTGAAGTATCCACTCTTTCGTCTCAGGTGAGATGCTTCGGGTGGACCCATCGAGAGCCTTGGCTGAATCCAGAGCTGAAGGGACAGTCCATGGAACAAGATGTAGCATGGCTTGTGCCATGCTTCCTCGTATAAGGGTGAAGCCATGATATCACACAAGAGATTCCGTCATCGGCCTTCCTTTCTCTTCAGACCTCATCCTGCGGTTGCACGTTCTTTGTTTAACAAAAATTGATGACGGTTGATGCTTCTTTCTCTTCAAGGACTCTGACGACTTCCGCTCCTGCTCTGAGTGTGGTGTTTTGGATGCAGACTGGTACCGGTTGGGAGGGTGGGAGGAATTGAGATGAATTGAGCGCCTTTCACTCTATACATGGTTGTTCCCAGCGATCTTAAGAGTGCTAACCCCATGCGGTGCAGCTGCTTGGTCTGAGCCGAGGCCAGGACGATATTCAAGTTGAGTGTCTCCCTCTCAGCCTGTGCTTGGTGGTGCCGTTTGTGAAAACCGGAGCAGTGCCTAATCATCAAAGACACCGAACCCAATCCGAGTTCACTCTAGGTTATTTCGCTTGCCGTGGGTGTGGCGACTATGCCCCGGGCTGAACATGTTTCATCCGCATGCACGTTGCTTTGTGCTGCTGAGCTTGCTCTTTCCTGAAGCAGGACATTTGCATTGACTGCGCTGGGCGGCTCTCTCGGGGGCTGCAAGCTTTACCAGCCTCTAGCTTAGTGCTGTGAGAAGTTGGAGTGGTTGAAGAGCTTCAGTGGCTTCAGCTTCAACGCGCTTGGAGTTGATCATTTTGTCCACAAAGATCGCACGAGTGAGGCCTTCAGCCCACCATCGAGATCAGTTGATTCTCCATCGGGACGCTCGACTGCACCATTAGGATCCATTAGGAGAACGCTCCTGCACGAACGGTTTGGTGGATGGTGGTGCCAGGGTGGTGGACTGAGGCTTCTCGGATGACTCAGACGTGAAAGAAGCATCCCTTGAGCCAGATGACCTGAGCCAGTCTCAGCCTAAAGACGAAGTGGAGGTCCAGCGAGATCTTCCAATTTAGCGTCGCTCTGCACCGCTGGGAGCATCTTTTCAGCGAAGTGACGTGCATCTTTCGAGCGACACGGCCGCGGAGCGGTGGCAAAATGGAGGGAGAGCTGCTCTGAGGGCGTCTGGTCATAGCACAAAGATTGAAATATCTTGAAATGGTCCTGTGAGTCATGTGGGTGTGTTTTCAGAGAGACCTCCCAAAGACCCCCTGGAAGAATTACTCACATCCATGTAGACTCAGCTTGATTCTCAGCATGCCGAGCCATTGCGTGACCGGTGACGGGTGAAGAGGGCATTTTCCCTCAAGACCTTACTACCTTACCAGTCCATGGGTCTATGTTCGCAATACCTTTGCGTCTTCTACTCAGATATACTTGCACGGCTGACTGCAACAGTGACATCTATACAATATGTGTTTTCACACTTTGTTTTTTTCCATATTCCCGCTTTGCCACAGGCCTCATGTGGCTCTTCTCCATTCTCACATTGGTAGCTTCTGAGATTTGCTGCTGGCTTTGATAGATGCTTTTTGTTCACCTTTTCTGTGATTGAATGGTCTTGATGGAGCCACGTCTTCTGTTTGATTGTGTGTTCCCCTTTTTTGGGAGACTTGTTCAGCCCAAAAGGTCCTGCTTGCCAAGGCGCGAATCATGAGACGGAGTTTGCCACCAATTCCACGACCTTAATCCAGCATTTGAACCCCTCAGTAAGTCGAAATGGATCAATTAGGAGCTCCCTGGAGAACGTGACAAAGGAGGTCAACGAGACCGTGGCTGAAGCGCCTGAAGAAATTGCAAAAAGCATGGAGTGGAAGCAGCGCTTCGCACGCCTGCAGGGTGGAGAAGGAGGAGGTGGATCAATTGCACTTGTCACAGAAGCGGCTCTGTCGGGTTTGGCCTCGAACCTCTTCGTTTGTAGCGCTTGTGTTGGCCTCTTTAGTTTTCTTCGTGGCCGCTACCCTTTGGTCCGAAGCCTAGTTGTCTCAGCAGCCTCCACATGATCACCAGTATCACCTGTGATTCGTGTGACCCTTTTTCAGACAGGCCATTTTTTAGGGACTTATATAACCATCGCAGGTCTTCTTCGGGAACATGGCAGATGGTACCATGGACTCTGATCAGCGAAGAAATTGGATCTCATCCTCCTTGGCGTTGGATTTGGAGAAGATCACTGCCGTCATGGGCCTAGATGCATCTTTGGCCATCGAATATGCCAGCTTTGGGGCTCGGCTCATGATGATCATCGGGCTTCTTGGCAGCTACAAGTTGCAAGGTGCCTTTTCTTGATTCTCACGTAGTTTCTGGAGAAGAAGCTAATCCTACTTTTAAGTTGTGGAAAGGTTCCTTTCGTCATGGGCCTTCATGATCAGCTTTCGACACCCAGCATGCGAGGTTGCCGTTTCTTTTCCTCTTCAGCCCCTTGCACCGCTGGTATGGCGGTGGTGGACTTGAAGAAAAGGATTTCCTCTCAAGCATTTCGGTGTCCAACGTGTCCATGGGCCACCCTTGGTTGTATCACCTTCATGCACTGGCGGTGCTATGGACAGTCCTAGCCGTAAGGGCCATGGTTTTTCGAGCTCAACAGACATTTATGGCAAAGCGCCATGCTTGGCTGACAAGCTTGCCCTCTCTGAGGGCAAATACAGTGCTCGTAGAGGACATTCCTGCTAGCTTTCAATGCCAAGAGAAGGTGCTAACGTTCTTTAGCGAGAATGTGGGCCCGGTGGCCCACGTTGGCATGGTGAGGCATACGGAGAAGCTTGAAGCGGCCATCGAGGCACGAAACTCTACTAAAGCAAAGCTGGAGGAGGTCCGGAAGGAAGTTGAGTTTCGAGAGCTGCAGGGCAGTCCAGACATGGATGCCAAGATGGATAAGATAAATCTTTTGTCCCAAGAGCTGACAGAGCTTGAGTCTCAAGTCAAGGCAGAACGAGAGCACATCAAGGGTCAGTTTGCACAAGCAGGTGGAGTGAACTCGCATTCGGCTTTTGTAACTTTCCATTGTCGCAAAGATGCCGAAATGGCGAAGGTCCTTGAATTGAGTGGGAATGCTGACTGGGCAGTGCACGATGCCCCCGAAGCTTCGGAGATTCGTTGGCACGACTTGTTGCAAGACTACAGTGTTGCTCGCTCGGCCATTGGTTGCTTCCTCATTTTCTTGCTGTTCGCCAACTTCTCGCCCATTTGTTTGTTGATATCATCCGCAGCTTCTGAAGTGAACGTGGGCAAGCTGCAACCCATTTGGGATGCCTTGGCTCCGACTCTTGGGTTGACAATCTTCTTGTCGATGCTGCCCACTGCCCCCCGCCACAAACTTGGTTTATGTTCGTTCTTTTCCTTGCTATTGGTTGTCACGATTAGATGATTAGACTATTAGACGAAAACATCAAAAAATTAAAACACACCAGGTCTTGTTGCTGATCTTCGGAAGCTTCTTCAAACTGCGAGCAGAGTCTCTGGCGCAACACCGTCTTCAAACATGGTATTTCCTGTTTCAAGCCGTCTTTATTCTCTTTTTGCCGGTGGTTGGGACGAATTTCCGCAGCTTTGCCAAGCAGCTTCTTGCAGATGACAGTTTGTCTACAATCCTTGCACAAATCGCCGACAGGCAGCTTGCCATGCAGTCAGACCATCCATTTCTTGGCATGTTGATGCTGATATCTTCATTTTTGCTATCCTTCCCCTGCTCCAAGGATACCATTGTCAGGCGATTTCTTCTTCAACTTTATTGTTCTGCAGTGGTCGGTGTCCTGTGCTGGCCTCAGACTTGAATTGTATATTGAAAGCAGAGGACGTTCGAATTTTGCATACCTGTTGGTTGACTTTTGATTCTTTCCGCTTGTACCCATGGCCTATCACATCCACGGGGCTCCCGGTTTGCTGTCGGCGTATGGAGGGATATAGCATTTAGCAGCCAAGAGCTTCGTGACGGTGACCCCTACGTTGACTTACTGTAACGTCCCCTTGCACGAAGGGAAGAGAGCCATAAGAACACGTGTCCATTTAGGCCGTATGGACTGGCGTGTAGCCGTGATGTTGTGAGTTTTTTGTGCCCTGGTCCTTTGTAACCTAGCTGAGCACAGTAGATAGCTTGAAGCATACCATATACGCATGACTACGCATGATGATATTCCGCCGGCACATTCATTGCGGACGGATTTTGTTGGAGATTAGCCAAGCTTGCCCAAACAACTCAAGCCATGTGAGCTTCCTATTTAGAAGCTTGTGGTCCACTCCCAAAGGCAAGGTTGGAGTTGTGGTTAATGTTGGGTCACAGATGGGTGACTATAGGTCCAGCACACCTTCAGATGCTCCACTGGCGTTGTTTGTTTGGCCCCTTTGTTCTGAATCTTCACATTGACATGGACTTGCCCTCAGATCCAGAATGCACGTGATGTGCCGTCATGCGATACACCATGCCATGGCATGGCTTGCCTTTCACCTGGTTGTGAGAATGCTGGTAGCATATGAGGGAAGATGCATTCGCACACCCATGGCCCCATCGTGCGGGCTGATCACATGCATGTGACCCGGTGTTCAACAAAACAGATCCCAGTGCTTCGTCTCTTTAGGGTCCCTCAGGCATGGAGCTGCTGCGAATGGTGGTCCTTGCAAAGTTTCTGCTGTTCAGGAGTCGAATCACAACAAGTCTTTGTGACCTGATGGCGAACCCATGCCTTCTGAACGTGGCGTAGAGATGCAGAGAGGTTAAGATGCAAAACTGGTCTCCACTTGGTTTTGAGATGGAAGGACCACCTATACAGAGGCTGAAGCTCGGCAAAAGGCAGAGCCGGAAGATCAGGAGAAAGCAACGTCGAACGCAAAAGAATGTTCTAACTATATTAGACCGTTCTTCCTTTTCTTGTTTCTTTGTTTCTAATAGTGATGGCCTTCTACCTACTAGCGATGGCATTCAACCTAGCAGCGGTGACATCCAACCTAATAGCAAACTATATGACTGTAGACTTTTCGAACTCAAAAGACTGTTCTACCGCATCCGTCGCTCAATGAAGGACTTCTATGGGATGGGGGGCAGAACCGCTCGATGGAGTCTCAACCTGGTCATTGGCCGCTTTGCTCTCAAGGATGTTGGGTTTTGAGGAGATTGAAGTGTCTCGAGCAACTGTAGCAACGGTGTTGGTTCTTGCGCCGGCCAGTGCTAAGGATGCATCTTTTGCAGTATTGATCTCAGCTTTGCTTCATGGCATGAAATTGATCGATGTTCGTGAGACCCAGGTGTATGGCCGATGGTTCCGCTGGTTGTTCTTCTCCAGTTTTTGATGCAGCGGCTCGCATATGGATATTTGATTGAGCCGGCCTCAACATAGACCAACTCAGGGATGCGCGTGCCACCTGCTGCAACATCATTGTCAAACCTGCCGAGGCATTTGCTGAGACGCGGAAGCCTGATTTGGGAGGAGAGTTTTGGTGCGAGAGTTTGCTACAGCTGTTGCAACTCGGTCCCAGACAGACGCTTATTGAGACCAAAGACTATGGAAATGCAGCCCATGCTTTGTGAATGGGACTGTTCAGAACGTTTAGGTACTGTATGGCCGCTTGCTTGCAGCCAGTTGACCACGGTTGCAACTTGTGGTGGGAATCAGATGCATTTCTTGGCCTGAACCTGCCGCTTTGAGGTCTTGTTTGCAGCCAGTGGCTAAGAGCGGGGGTGAAGGTCATAAGATGCTAGAAGATAAGCATAGGAGGATGGGGTGAGTTGTGGTCGAAACTTCGATGCAGTTGGAAAGTACATACACAGATGATTACAGATGTAAACCTATGTAAAGCTCAGGCCTCCGTTGATTCCTGCTTACTGCTTTCTGCTTCGATGTGCGTTGCGTGCATCTTCTTGGACACTCAGGTCGGGATGAGCGGCCTGCTCCTTCGGCGCTCCCCAAGTTGTATCCCTCCTGCGGTGGCCTTCGTCGGCGTGCCAATTGCAGCAACTCGACCCCACCAGGGGCTCCTGGCCTACTCCTGGGAACAAGAAGCTACTTCTGAGGGCTCCTGGCATCGCTACCAGGAGCAAGGACGCTATTAGTGTAGTGTGGTGTGCCACTGGGGCTTTGCGTCAGTGATGCGCTTCGATCATTTTCGATCATTTGGCCATTGGACGTTGACAAGGTGGCCTCCATTTTGCAGTTCAAAGATCGATTTCGGTGGAGGACCTTGTCAATTCCAGAGGCCTGTCTTTCAGACAGTTCCAAAACATGTTTGTTTAATTTTTTTCTCTACAGGTGGTCAAGATGGACCATCCCCTACCTACAAAGGACACCAACTCAGCTTACATCAATTTGGTCAGCTTGCCTAATGTAGCAGAAGCAAAGTGAAGCGCTTATAACGACGCATGTATACGCATGCAGTTTGCAGGGAGCTAAGACGAAATTGGACTCAACCATCTACGAGCAACCAGCCCTGACGGAAGATTGAGGGCTAATTGGGACAGTGACTTGCACAAGTGCATTTGCAGTTTGGAAAAATGGTGCCTATGAACATCAAAGATCTTTTGAACGTGTGGATAGAGAGTTGAGTCCCATTGTGTACGATGGGATCGCGGGGGGGGGCAGGGCAGCCGCAAAACAATTTGGAATCGTGTAATGAGTTGCTCGAAAGGTAAAGTGAGAGGTCCATGACAAATATGGATGAATATTGTAACTCCAGAACTGTCAATCAGCAAGTGGAGACGCAGTTTAATTTAGTTTGTGATGTTCAAGGTTTCTTTTAGCACTTGGAACACACACTTTGAACGTTTTCGTTCCCGCATGCTGAGCCATGGCAACAAAAGATCAGATTGGTGAAAAGGACAATGATAAGGCACGTGATTGGGATTGATTTGCTGAGTGGCAACCCTACTTGCCATGCCTTGTAGGTTGTAGACGGTATTGAGGAGGACAAGGCAGGAACTGTTGTCAATGGTGTCGCTTGAATTTCATTCTGGAATGAACAGAGTTGCTCTCTCAGGAGGCTAGTGTACAGACGGCATACTCTTCGAGAGCAGAAAAGATGCGGCAAATCAGGAACCAGCAGCAACTTGGATGAACTATTCAGTATATTTAATTCAGCCTGGAATGCACATCAATGTCATTCGTCAGCAACAGCCTTTGCAGGCAAGCGTTGGACCAGGCACAGTCACAGTTTGCCTTCGGTGATAGGACAAAAAAAACAAATCCCAAATCATGTTCACAGCAAGTGGAGTCATTGACCTCAAGTTGGGCGAATCATTTGGGGTGTTTGGATTTCTCGGATGTTGATTTCCATCGCGTGATCAGGACAAAACACCACCCGGCCTAATGCCTGCTGGAAGACCCCCGCGTGCGCAGGCAAGCATATTATTTCAATTTTCATGAATTGTTGGATTGCAAACGCGCGGTTTATGATTTTACACTCTCTTGAAAGCAGTGTGTTGTTTCTATGAGCCGTTATGTCGCAAGGTGCAATTCATGTGCAATAGTTTAGGCCGTCAAGTTCTTCAGTGCAATGTTGAACAAGAACGCTCCAAGTTTCATAACTGCACGTGATAGTTTTTGAGCAAGTGAAACATTGCATTGACAAATCAAGCTACTAGAAACAAGTGCCTTACTAGTAGTAACAAGAAGCATTGACAAATCACACCCTTCGAGCTTGCGCCCGGAAATGGGTTGCGGTGGCACCAAGAGCGCAGAAGGACGAAGGGCACACCTGCTGAGAGGGCACGGCGTGGCTAGGGGGATGTGTTTTTCCCATGCGATGCCTATGCTGCGTAGGGCAAAAGGGTCATTGTTTGATCACCGTGTTTAGTGTGAAAGTACATGAAAGTACCATAGGCTATTGACACCCAAATCCGGTGGTGCTGGAAGAGAAGCGAGGTCTTTTACTGGGCAATGCTGTCAGGAGCGGAATCTCCAGGGATGCCCCCGGGGCCAGTGGAAGCAAAGCCGCCTGCAAAACCAACGCCAGCTGCAGATGGGGCACAAGGCCAGTGGCATCGTTTTTCACCTTAACTACTCCTTGCCACTGGCTACAACAATGCTTGCGCAAGCACTACTCCTTCCTACCAGGGAAGTTTGGTGTACTGTGTGAAAGTTTTTCCTTTCACATCCAGGAAGTTTCTTTCGCACAGGCTTGCAATCGGACGATCCTGAGGCTGGAGGTTTTCGGGCGCAGCAACCAGTCAAAAAGACCGAATGCATGGGTATAGAAGAAGCTGATGTGCTATGAATCGCTGTGAAGTGTTCATGATGTTTTGCTTGAAGGTGTTGAGACAAGCACTCTCCAATGCCTTATCTCGTGGGCAGCGAGGTCCTGAAATCACGGGTGCCAGCCTGAGGCCACACCGCTGATTCTCATGCAATGCACGTGATGAGATGTCATCTAAGATGCTGAAGCATGCTTGCGAGCAAAGCTCCAAATTCCTGCAGACTGGGACAGGGATTTGGATGAAGCCATCACACATAGTGAAACGGTGAGAACTAAACCTTCTTGACAAGAGGGCCTACCGTTAGCCTCATTTCACTGGTCCGGCTTGCTTCAGCCTACCGTTAGCCTGGATCCCGGAAACACTCGGGTTTCCGAAGTACCGGGAAGGATCTGACCCTTTCAAGCCTAATTAAATTTAAGTCTAATAGCTTCTTGTTACTACTAGTAAGGCACCTGTTACTACTAGCGTGGCACTTGTTACTAGTAGCTTCTTGTTACAAGTAAGCAAGGCACTATTTTTGGTGTGAGCAGTTCCACCGGAGAAGGTTCTGAAGTTGCGGCATTGCGAGGACTTAAAGACATTCTGTGCTGGAAGGAGACTTGAAGGCAGGGTCTTGAAATGCAAGTATCAATATGCAAACAAATGAAGTGGATGTTGAATTGGCTAATTGAAAACAACTTCCAGACATTTGGCCTTATCTTTTTGGAGTTGTTCCTTCGTTGCACGCAAAGCCACCCTCACAATTTGTGTCAAGGTGGGCTTGGTGGAAGGAAGGCTGGCCAAGAAATGGGTTTCTTGTGAATCACATCTCTACAGTCGACTGGTGAGTTGTTTCTTGCGATGTGGGGAGTGTTGCTTTGAGATGGCTACAGGTATGCTAGGGACATCAGGTGGCATGTTAACTTGTGAGGCGTCCACTGTGGTGGCCTTCCAGCCACAGCCTCCACAGGCTGGTGATGACTGTGCTTCCAAAATATGTTCAGCTCCCTGCCTTTGCTTGACCACTTCGTCCTGCCTTCGCTTCTACAAGGTGGTCAAAGCGATGCAATCCGTGCTTGATGGAACTTATCGTAAAGCGAGAGCCCCAGCTGATGCGCATAAAGTAGAGCCAAAGTGAGAGCCCTCTTAAAGATCTTAAAGTTTGTTGATAAGATGATAAGTGCTGTTGATATTGTTTTACGTACTTGTCCACCTTGGGAGTGTGTTGGGACTGGTTTCACGGTATCCCACAAGTTTCAGATGTTTCAGTGAAGCTTCGATGTTCGTTGAGGTCTACACCCGGGACCGACGTGGAGCACCCATACCTGACCGCTTCACGGTGAAAGAGGTACGATGGGACGACTCTTAGTAGAAGAACAAAAGGCCTTGGTAAGATTTGTGACAAAACGCTGAAATATACTAGCTTCTTGCTACTAGTAGTAAGGCCAGGAGCTCTAGTAGCGTCCTTGCTCCTAGTAGCGATGCCCTTTGTTGCTAGTAGCGTCCTTGTTAGTAGCAATGGCCTCCAATGGACAAGAGGGGGCCCGCTAGGTTCACCGCGTTCTCAATGACCAGGCCCACAACCCAGCGAAAGCCCAGCGTTGGTGGAAAAACTGCAAGACTGCTTTCGTGTTTCTTTTTCCCTTGCGTGATGAAGTCCTTCTTTCTCACATTGAGGTCTGGAGAGATCCTTGTTTGCACTTGATCAATCTTTGCAAGAAGGGCTCACTTGTCAATTTGCTTCGCTTAGGAGTATGAGTCGCAGCGGGATGCTGTGCGAAAGGCATGTGCTGCTCAGCAAGCGGAGTTGCCAGATGGATCTCACACAGTGAACCACTTGAAACAGACTCAAGCTCAGACTTGGATCAAGAAAGTTATTGCAATTGGTTCACTTCATTGCAAGTCAGCCTTCCTTCCTCTTCAGATATTCCTGTCGTGATCCTGTCCTCCAAGGAGCGGCGGCCTTGCTGCTTTGCCGCCGTTGGATGAAGCATTGGCCCCAATCTGGCGACTTTCGGATAATCAGGAAAAGCTCATGGGCTTGGATCCAAATTATTCCTTTGTCCTGCCCTGTTATATAGGGGAATTCGTGTGCACCAGCACTCTGTTTGAAAGGATTGAAACGGGATAGCTCATGTGTTTGGAGACTCTGGAGTCACTGCTGACACAGTGGATCATGCTATAGTGATATCATCTACAACATATTACAGCTTCTTCTACTAAAAAGTATATAGTATATAGTTATACGTACTAGTTGTCAATACATCGTGATGCCCCCTGAAGACCTTTCTTTGCCGGTTTGGTCCTCGAACTTGCACCCCAGGCTGCCAATGAGCACTGGCTCTTTCACGGCACCACAGCAGCCGCCGCGACCGGCATTGCCGAGAATGACTTCCGACGCTCGGCCGAAGAAATGAAGAATGTGAGTCCCTAGTAGCGTCCTTTGCTCCTAGTAGCGATGCCCTTTGCTCCTGGTAGCGTTCTTGTTACTACTAGTCAGGCCAGGAGCACCTAGTAGCGTCCTTGTGCACAGCTGGCCAGTTGGCTGGCCAGTTCTGGTGGAGTTTCCTGCAGCAAAGCTCGGCACGAGTTTGGCGCAGAAGGTGACGAAAGGGACGATCCAAGGCCTGGACATGTCTGGTTCAAATGCTGGCACTCTCTATGGCAAAGGCGCATGTGTTGCAATCTTGGGATACCATCAGGATCCGAAGGGGCGTGTGTGTGTGTGTGTGTTTCAAGAATGATGATCAGATTCGTCTCTGTGGTGGTGTTGATAAAACAGTCCAATTGTATAGTAACAGTAGAATCATAAGACCAACAGAGCGCTTTAGATTTAGATATTGTTTAAGGAGACCGAAAATCAAAGAGGCCTAGATCAGAAAGAATCTCAAGCGCAGTTTCCCCAGAGATTTCCGAGACTGGAGAGTGAGAGACAGGCATTTACCTGGCCGAGAATGCCACGAAGTCTGGCTCCCGGGCATGGCTCATAGTAGCGTTCATGCTCCTTGTAGCGATTCCCTTTGTTCCTAGTAGCTTCTTGTTCCTAGTAGCTTCTTGTTCCTAGTAGTAATGCCAGGATCTACTAGTAGTGTTCTTGCTCCTAGTATGCGGGTGGACCGATTTGCACGTCATTTCGAAATGGGCGTGTGGAAGGCCTCAAAGAGCGAACCAAAATGCCTTGAGCCAGGGGGGTCTCCCTATTCTAATACGTTGTTCACTTGGAATGCTGTTTGTTGCTTCCTGATTCCTGATATATACAGTACTTGTCATTATACATAAGTGTGTATGTCAGTATACATATATATATATCATGAAAAGACATGCTGAAGGACATGAAATCCTTGGCGTGATCACAACCTCTGGGTTTTTCACATCATCATGTTAGAGATACAAGTGATATATACCTTATTTTACGGGGACTTCGCTTAGATGATCCAGTCTGAAAAACACCTCTCAGGTCAGATGAATACGGTGAAGGGCCCAAGGGCCCAGCCTCCACCGGTGAGGAAGCAGAAATGGGTTTCGAGGCACAGCCCTGAGGAGGTTTGGGCAGTCAGGGCTGAGGAAGATCTATTCAAAAAAAGATTGTGGTTTTATTGTCATCCAACTTTCGAAAAAATAATAGATAAATACATAGATATAGATATAACGCTGAGTTCTTGATGCGCCGATATGCTGCTTGATTTCTTTTGATGTCTTCTTGTTTTGGCATCAGGGCTACCTCTTCCCTTTGCATCTTGGGCTTGTCTCTGCTTGTCTTGCGCTGATGAGGCGCCTCGGCCACCTCCTGGCCCTCCTCCACCTTTAGTTCGGGAGCAACTTGGTGCAATGGTTCCGACGAAAGAGGATTTCTATCGATTCTTGGTGTTTGAAGCAACCACAGAGGCAACAGTTTCTTGGTATTTGTCATCTACCAAGCAAACATCACATGTATGGGCGCAGACATTGGGAAGCTCGCCAACCTACCGGATTGCAACATGTCCGTGCTTTGGAGAATGAAGCACCTGAATCCTTCATAATCGTTCCACTCCGCATACGGAAAGCTATTAGTAACAAGTGCATCGCTTCTAGTAACAAGTGCCTTACTAGGAACATGTGTTTTTGCACCAAAGATGCGCACCAAGGTCCTACATCTTGGTCTGCCGTTCTGCGCCTCTTGACTGCACCAGGGTGAACAAAAGGCATCCCAACAGCTCTGCATTTGCTCTACCGGTTTGACCATGTGCTCAAGCAGAACCGCTTTGACAAGGCTTGGCAGGGTCAACTACAATGATGAACAGCGTCCAGATCCAGACAGGCTTGCGGGCTTGCTAGTTGGCGACCATTATCGTTTTTGTCCTTCTCTCTCCTAATTTGCCAAAGACCAAAAGCCGAACAGCTCGCCAGAATCCACATGAATCCACTGCCTGGCCAGGCTACAAAAGAGCTGCCTCTCGGGTGAATTTGACAGTGTCCTGGGTGACAGGCAGAGCCCGGGCGGTGGAACGGCTGCACACGCACAACCACACGCACTGTGCTGACGACCACGCGTTTACAATGACGACCAGACGACCACGTGAGATGATCGTCTAACGTTTCGTGAGGCTGAAGTTGAACCGGACCTTTCGTGAGATTATCGTCTACAATGATGACCACGTTTACCCCGAGTACATCGTCAAGGCAGGCCTAGCCGCCAAGGGAGAAGCTGCCAACAAATCACTTGCTTCGGCATCATGTGTCGTGACCAGTACGAGCGCATCTTCTTCCACGAAAGATTTGCCGCTGTCTACAAGGCTGGTCAGAAGAAAGCAGTTTGCAGATGACCAGCATTGACCAGCCGAGTATGCAGCTCCAAGAGACTCATCAAACTCGAACCTGCGTTTGTATGACCAATGAAAGACCTTCCAACACAACCAGATACCAGCTAAATCCAACTATATAACCTTCCGATGTGTTTTTCTTTAAACTCTATTCAATTTGTTTCACCGACCCTGCCGAAATCAAGGGAGAGCTGAGAGAGGGAGACAAGACAAGTGAGGAACCCTTCAACGCGCATCGCTACTAGTAACAAGGTGCATCGCTACTAGTAGCAAGGGCGCTACTAGTAGCTCCTGGCATTACTACTAGTAGCAAGAAGCCACTAGGGTGGAGGCCATCGCTACTAGTAACAAGAAGCTACGAACGTAGCAAGTGCATCCGGGGCTCAGCAGCCGAGAGGCGATGTTGGATCGCAGTCTTGCGGGTCGATTCAGTGGCCCAACCAAAGAGGAGGGCGTTCGGGCGGTCGAGACGGGCATATCGGAGCCAACAGAAGAGCAGCGTGGGTAGCGGTGTGGTATCACATTCAGTTTGTTGGTCTAGGACCTAAAGGATGTGGTTTCTAATGCAAAGAGGTTGGAATCCAGGAAGAGGACAAGCTCCGACATGGAGCTACTTTGACCAAACCCCTGGAGTGGCTGCTCGTTTTCTGTGGTGTTGGCAGATACTGCATTGGAAGGGCATAAGAAAGCTGATTCTCAAGTCTCAAGTCGGTGTTTCCTTGCAAGGAGACCGAAGTGCTCCAATCAATGTGGCAAGTGCAACTTGACAAGGATTAATTAAGTTTGATTAATTAGCATAGCAGCTGAACAAAAAAGTCGCTGTTCTCTCATGGCAAATATGAACACCTTTTTATGATCCTGTATGCCTTTGGCACCAAGGTATTCGATGCCAAACAAAGGCTGCGCTTGTGCATTTTGCTGAATGAAAGTTAATGATAGAGTATGATAGAGTAATGAAGGGATTCGATGCCAAATAATCGCTGCGCTTGCGCATTTTGCTGAATGAAAGTAATGATAGAGTAATGTCAAACACATAGTGATTGCGTGTGGAAAACCCCTTTGACAATTGTCGAAACAGAGGCAAGATTTCGAAGTCACAATTGCTGGATTTGCTGCTTGCAATCTACCAGCCACCTGTCACTTGGCAGTGTTTCATTTCAAGCTTCCATTTAGGCATGTGCTTGATTTGTGAATTCATTTGGCAAGCATGCAATGCGCTGATCTACGTCCAAACTGATTGCAAAGTCCAAAGGACAATGAAGGAGAAGATCTCGATGCAACCTTCAAGGACCAAGAATCCCATCCTCCTTTTGCACTGACCGTCCTCGGTCAACCGAGAGCAAGGCTCTGCTCTTTACAGGAGTGGGACCGAAAAGGCAATGGCAAGATTGATTGGGACGATTTCTTAGCAGAGGCTCAGGGACTCACCATCCCTTTGACGTGTTTACCACGGCATGGCATGCTCATCGCACCTGGCAGGTGACCCAGCGAATCCGTGACAAGATCTCCTGTTCAGGTAGGGCAGATGGAGAGGGAAGGTGTTTCGTTCGGGGAGGACCTGCAAACGACAAAATCAGTTCTCGTTGAGAGATTTCTTTGACAGGTCCGGAACGCTTTGCTGAGATCTACAGGCATTTAGCGAGTGTGGAAAGTTGTGACTGTTTGCATGAATAAATGAAATCAAGAGAATCCCATTCTTCCAGGGGAATGCTTGACCGGAAACGTTCCGGGCGCTTTGACGGCCGCCAACCCAGTTCACCAGTCTTGCTGTGAGCCAACTTTCGAATCCGCCTGGCGACTGAGGGCCTGATGTTGGAGAGAGGGCTGTGCTGAGAATGGTGTGGTACCAATACTGCCTCTTGCCTAAGTCCACAGAGTTCCCGGCATTTGGCGAGAGGAAGCGGGTCTTCTGAGTTAAAGGGCAAGGTTTGCAGTATTGCATAACGAGCAACCTTGGGCACGTATCAATTTTGGTGTGTGAAACAGTGCCTGCAGGTCAAAACCAGAGGACCATTGACAAGCAGCAATTGCTTCTTTTGCTGAAGGTGGGAGTTGACCGGAAGTTGACCTGAATTGACAACTAACATGCAAATGTTGCGGGGGTCAGTTATCTCAGCCATTCTGTGCCAATCTCTTTGCATAGGCCATCAACCAGCCACCGGCCAACGAGCGTGATGATCTGGATGAGACCTTCAAGGAGACAATGATGGAAGGGTTTGGCATGTCATCCAACAGTTTCTTGAAGTGCTTTGGAAAGATGCAGCTGAAAATTTGTCATGATCAGCTCCCTTGCTTTACACAAGTTGTGAAGTGGACAAAAAAGATCAGAGAAGCAGTTTAGACTGTCGTGAGACTGGTTAGTGTTACCCTACTGATGAACTTGATGCTGCGACAGTAATCGAAGTCAGTACGAGAGGAACACTTCGTTCAGATACTTGGTTACATGATGTGATATAATGTGGTTAGCTGAAAAGCTAACACCACGAAGCTATCAGCTATCATCTGTTGAATTACGACTGAACGCCTCTAATCTTTAGCTGGTGGGACTGGTGGGCCTTGCTTCACAGCTCAAAGCCAGGAGATTGACACCAAAAATGACGGAGTCATCGTGACCTGGATGTATTTATTTGTGTTTGTTCATCCTCATTGGACAGAAAGGACCTTACATTCCCTAGATCACTTGTATTGTGCGGACAGCTTGCTTTGTTGGTGCTGTGAGAACAAATTCTGCCAAGGATTTGGAGGAATTCATGGAGGAGCGTCCCAGGGCTGCGCTGCGTCCCATTTTCACTTGAGCACCTATCAAAACCTGTCCTTATCTAACTTAAAGGAGGCTAGATATACTTGTTTGAACATGCTAGTGTTGATAGCAAGGATGACCTCAAGAACGATAGGGTCAGGAACAAAAAACAATAACTATATAACTCTGATGCCTTATTTTTGTAGGAATATTCAGCATGGCAAACGATAACCAAAACGATACCATTCTGATCCGTATTTGAGCATTTTTTGGCCCACAAAGCCAGAGGTCCACACAAGGAAGAGAAAACATTGTATCACTTGTGGGACTCTGACAATCAATCAAAAGAAGAAGCGGCCTTCGTTTCGGGAGTGCTGATTCTCAAAATCAAGGGGAACCTTCAAAAACGATTGGGTCGGGAACAACAACCGATACCCCCTTGTAATGTCCTTTACCACATGTAAGAGGCCTGGCATCTTGTGGGTGTTGAGGAGATCACTCAGAGAGTGAAGGATGGTATTGAGGCATGAGTACAGCTCACGACCGTACAGGGCAGACCGACAGGGCAGACCTGAAGGGTCGGGTGGCCCCACCTAGCTCTTCATAGTGTGTGTGGCGCGCGTGGCGCGCAAAGCGCGCGTGGCGCGACACAACCTGGTTTCACCTGTGAGAAGATCAAAATGAGAGATATGTTTTGCATCATGCCAGGCTACTTGCTGGTTGGCTGGACATGACATTGGCTGTGTGACTGTGGTCAATGTTTTTTCTATGAACTCTTCAGGTCACCATTCCTGCCTCCATTGAGCCGTTGACATCTGAGCCCGAGTGCACTACTCAGTCGCTAATGTACCACTGTTGTTTGGTTCTCAATGGCAGTGGTCAGGCCAGAACGCTCAACCTGGGGAAGGCCAGTAGCACAGGGTCAGTTGAGTTCAGACTCCTTCATGTGCAAGGCTCCCTTTTGAAACATCCCAATTCCACCTTTGGGAAAGGTTCCTTTTCACAGTTGCTTGCTGCACATCTGCTGGAAGAAGAGATGGGTACGCCCGCCATGCTTCACGCGCTAAACTCTATATATATATATATACATATATTGACATATAGATTGTTTAATTACTATTGTGCCAGGTATCGATAATCAAATCATGAAATATGTTAAATTGATTGAAAGAAGAAGAAAAAAACAAATATATATATATATATATTATCCTAATATTACGATAGGGCCTTACCTCGCGCATATACGCGTAATTTTTAGATATCGGAAATCCCAAAAGAATTGCCAAATTTGGGAACTTTCCACAATTTTGTATAATCTTCGCAAATACATATTTAATCTTTGATATCTAGCCTTTATATACGGAACCGAAATTACTTTATTATTTGGGAATTTTATAAAAGTTGAGCTTTCTAAAAAAAGTATATATTTTTGGAATTTGTTACGATAATAAAAGGCCGTGTATTATTAGGCAATTCGCTTACGGTCTAGTTAGCGGATTCGATTTTCTTCGGGTCTATATATGTTTATTGTATTAGTTTACTAGTTAGAATTGTAGTTTTATTTTATTTTTTTTTGAGGTATTGTTTGTTTTCGATGTTTATTTTGAGTCTTTATTGTTTCGTTTCCGAATTTTATGTTATTTTTTTTTGGTAATTTGAGTTTCGAGGTTTAATGATTTTGGTAATGTTCGTTATGCTTCCGAATTTAGAATTATATTTATTTTTGTTATTGTTTCGTAACGAATGATTTTGGTAATGGGATAATATTTCGTTGAAGATATATTTCGTGGATTGGAAATTTATTATATAGAGATTTATATAATTAGATTCGGCTTTTTTTGGCTTAGGAATATAGGTATATAAATTAGATTTGAATTTTTAATCGTGGTTTTAAATGTTGTTTTTTATTTAGGAATATGTTAGTTATATTTTATGATTTTTTGTTTAAGGCGAGTTGAAGCCATTTTATGAATTCTGTTGCATTATATTGGTGCCCCTTAATATAAAATTTAAATTAAGGTATTAAAAGGCATTTAAGGCAAGTAAGGGTTGTAAGCCATTGTATTATCGATCTTTGGATGAATAAATGGTGCAAAAATCGTATCTACACTCTAATTTGCAGCCAATTAAACGTGTTATTCATACAACATACTCAAAGTTCAGCTAAAGAAATGGAATTTAGGTATAAACCATTGCTTAATGTCAATGTAGGAAGGTTATTGCTTGAACCAATGCAGATCTCTGAAGCATTGAGGGTCGGAAACGAATTAAGATTAATTGAATTAGACCGCTGCCCATCAGCTTCATTAGGGATTCGTGGAGTTCCTGAACCACCGGTCCTCTTAGAGAAATATCCAATCTCTATGGGATCACCATGGCCACATCTTTGGAGATTAGATCCTGAGGCATCGGCTTTAAAGCCGAGAATCGGTGAATTAACTCGCTCTGAGCTGCTAGCTTGTATCTTCTGGATCAAAATTGAGGCTTTTCGGAAGAGAGGGCATCCCGTGTAGCCGCCTTCAAGGTCTTGGCACTTGGATCCCATTGTATGTAATTCCAGCCATTGGTGGAGGTCAAAATCTGTTTCGTTTGCAATGCTTGGATTAATTCCTGATCGTTTAATGCGAACGGCAGTTTCGCAACTCAATTGGCCAACTCCTCGAAAACCGATTGGAACATATGCTGTCTCAAAGATTTCGTAATTGTGGCCTGATCCCTTCGTGATTGCCAATCCTTGGATAGCTGCAGCATCTGAGGAAGAATGGAGTCTTTTCCTGCCTGAACGAAGAAGATGAAGGTCTTGTCGAGGTGTAGTCGATTCAGTTGATCCTCCTGTTTTAATGTCCATTTGATTGTTATGGTCCGAATCCGATGAGTGCGAGGGTTTCTTTTGACCTTTGCGGGTATGATGACGTGCGGATGGTTTGTCCTCCTCCTCCGTCTTGGGTCCCTTTCCAAATGAGCGCTACAGATTTCTATTAGATCTGCAAAAGATTGATCTTCTGCTTTCATGCACTCCATCTCGAATACCTAATGCACCACATAAATAGAACTAGTCTTGGGCCAGTACATATTCAAATTAGCATGCATGCTGAATCCATGAGGTGGTATGAAATTCGATGGTCTCGAATCGGATTAGTTCTTGGTTAGTTGAGTGCCAAGCCTAGTAGTGCGGGCGCACCGTCTGATAGAAGTGTAGGAAACGAATGTGCGGAATGTCCTCAATATTAATTTGATGCGAATCCGTGAAATTAATTATTTAAGGTGTAAAAGCATGGAATTAGCGCAATCGCATCTCTGACCAAAAAGGAATGGTAATCGATAACATGTTCTTAGGTGCGGAGATTGCGGGATAAATTAAGGTCGTGGTTACGTCTTGTGTTTATGGAGGGACGTTAACCGGGATTATAAGTTTAGGCATCACCAATCTATCTATTTCGTTTGTGGGGGACAATTGTCTAGTAGCCGTGGCCTCTGAGATCTCGATGTTTTTAAGTTATGTGGAGGGCCGGAGGATAGGGCCGAAGTATTGATTTTTGATCGATTTATATAACTAATGGGATAGGATAATTGGTTCTTCGATTTGGTTGGAAAGCAAAAAAGGCTAGTTATTTATATTATATGTCCGTCTAAAAAATGTCTTGCTAATTCTTTACGATTAATTTGGTTAAGATAAAACGGATATTGAAAGATTTTGATTGGATTTGATATAATTTATTGAGGCTTGTTTAACATTGTCGGCACCGTGTTAAATTTGGATTGTGGAGGTTCGAATAATTTGTTTACTTGAGGTCTGTGCGTGGCTATGAATCGGCATGTATTTTTCTTATCTAATAACGATTCGAAATTTGAGGAAATAATGCGGATAGGCATATATACAGGTGCAGGATTTAGTACGATTGGCATGTTCTTTGGTATCGGTTTAGTCTTCGATATATGAAGTGGTTTATCCATAGAATTTCCCGTTTGGAGCAGGAAATAAGATTGTGTAGTATTGCATCGCATTTGAATGTGAGGTTTTTATTATGATTTGCATGATGGGGAATTATTTAAATGTAATTTAAAATATATTTATATATTTATGAATATAAATATTCCGATATTTAGTATTATGGACGTTGTAACGATTACGGCCATTAGTAAGATTGACCATATTATAAATATATTTACAAAAATATCAAATAAATAGAATATATTAATGATTACAATCATTAATGTGGAACGAATAATATTTTGATAAGGTATAAAGGATTTAATATTACGATATTTTAGAAATTAGGTATTTAACAAATATATTCTTTGATTAATTTAATATAATTTAAATATCGAATATTAAAAAATTAATGCAAATTTAATACTAAATATATATAGATAACCTGAAAAAATGGGGGAATGAAAGCGAATAGTTATTAAACGAAAGCGTTATTTGTTGCATAGTAATAGGTTCGGGACAAGGTTGTGGAATAGGTCTATGACCAGGTTCCGGAGCAGGTTCTAAAGTAGACAAGGCTCTAGAGGAAGACTTGGATAGCGAAGAAATTGTTTTAATTGCATTTCTTGTTATTAGTAATTTTCTTTGGGTTTATGCCATTAATCCGCAAAAAAAAAAATTATATGTCGCAATTATACCCTCTTCCCAGAGGTATAGAAATACAGAATCATAAAAAATAAAGATATCAAATATAAAGAAATTACTATCTATAGGAAATCCTTTTCTAATAATAATTTATCGTTACCAACCAATGATTATATTTGCCCCAATCCATCCAAAGAAAGGAGGATGACAGGAATTATATATTTCAATATTGCAATTATTATTAGTGTTACCAATCATTATACAAAAATATAATATAAATTTATATGTTTAAGCAGCAAATTCTTCACGCCACCAAATTGTTATTTATATGGGTCCCTATTTTAATAATAATTTATCATTATCAACCAAAAACCCATATTTGCACCAATACATACAACCAATATCTATCCATTTATCTATTTATTTATCTATAATTTATCAATTTATTTATTCCTACGCGATTAAACCGGAACAACGTTCGATGCACGTAAACGTCACGAAAAACATTCATTCGACATTACAAATATAGTAAAATTAAGATAATTATTTTATATATAGATACCTATTTCCATTCCAATATTTAATATCCACTACCCAATAATCTCCATAATCTTCCTAATATTAATAATATATTATTCGATATCCATTACATCATTCGTATCTATCACCAAATCCCCATTTTCATTGCTTTTCCAATCCTCATGTTTAATTGCTTTTTTTTCCAAATAAATTTCGAATTCATCCTTTCAATTATTTTTTTTTTTCCCGACCTATTCTCCCCCATATTTCCTTTATTAATTTCGTTTATTTTAAAAATTCAAGCCTAATTTATCGAATTTTCGTTATATATATTTATAAATATATTATATATATTTTTTTTTTAAATATATATATTATATAATTTATCCTAATTCAGATTCTTACAAACATATATATATATATTAATAATAATTATTAAATAACAAGACGATATTAAAATCGAGACAAAATAAAAAATCAAATAACATAGTAAATTAAATATTTAAAAGAAGGGAGACACGAAAGGTAGGATAGCGAGAAGAGAAGAAAACGCGAGAAGCAAGAATAAAAATGCAATGTTCGATATGGTAATTTATTCCCTCGGAAGCGACCTTTCGTAAATCGTAAATGTATGTTCATATGCATTCTAATTGTTCAAATATATGTTCTAGAAATATTCAAAAAGATTCTTAAGAAAACAAATTTGCCCCATGGATCAAATCATCGATAAGCATTAAATCGGAGCATCATAAGATTTAAACTATCCTAAAACCATAAGAGGCTCACGAAGACGCTCCCCAGGAGAGAATTAACGTGCTTCACAAAACAAACTCTAGTATATATCCCCTCGGGGAACATCTTTCGTAATTAGAATTTTATATGCATTCTTTCTAAATATTCAAGAGGGTTTCAATTATCCTAAAATCATGAGAGGCTCACGAAAACGATCTCCAAGAGAGAATTGATTTTAGAGGGGGGGAGGGGGGGGATCTGTTTTAAAAAATCATTTCCAAAGGGGCGGGGGGGGGGGGGGTCTGAATTGAGCGATCCGGACGTCCCAACACTTGTTTCGCAAGACAAACTCAAGGTATCCCCTAAAGGGCTACCTTTCGTGACATATAATGGCATGCAAAAACACGACTCGATAGACAACAACATAAAACGACATAGAATTTATGCATAAATTTATATATCATATAATATCAAATATTAAATAAAATATCTCTTTTAAAATAATATATATATATAATTTTATTTTGATAATTGATCTGTTCGGCGCCTTCGCTTCTTTGGCGGAGGTGGTGGTTGCTCCTGGGTTGATTGGATTGTGTTTCGCGTTATTTCTCCATATTTGAAGATTTTTTGTGGGTCCTCTTTAGGCTCTGGTGGAGCTTCCTTTGGCTGATCCAGCAATTCCACGTGCTTTGCCTGCACATTGCCATTGTCTGATCATGTGTCTCGCTTCAATGATTGGATGCACCTTTTCTTGCAGTAGTCTGAGCGTGTTGGTTGTTGGGTCACATCAGTCGATGTCGTGCTTTGTTTTAGATGTTCGAGCTCCATTTGCAACCTTCAAAACTACCGTTTGTGACTTGCCTAAGCAGCATAAAGTGGGTTCTTTTCTCATCCCAGTGCCCACTTCAAGAAATGCTATGCAACGATTTAGGATTCGTACCCTTGGCTTCTGCTTGTCGTCATACTCCACCTGGAATGAGACGGGCTCGCCATCTTTGAATTCCAGCCTGGCTAAGAAATTTGGCATCGAAAAAACTGTAGGTTATGTTGAAGCGTTGGAATCGAAATGATGTAGGACATTTCTGACAATTCCGCCTTCTTCTGAGCTTGTATAAATCAGGTTCGTGGCCAATCTCAGACTTGTGTAGGAAGATGTCCTTCGCTCAACAAGGATCGATTTTTCGGATCACTCATCCGTCATATCAAGAAGCCCCGAAGACCCATGCCATAATTCGTACCTTGTTGTAGATCGCCCTGGATTCTGCACAAACAATAAAGCCAAAACCGCCATCTGGATTCCAACTGCGCACGCTCCCTTTGAATCGCCTCAAGTCGAGTGCAGCTTCAAAACAGGGACTTCAAAGATTCCAAAGGCCTTGATGCCTTGCCTGTTTGGATCGTGAACCAAAGGTGGTCTGTGGGTGGCGGCCGCAACCTGCTCAATGCACAAAGCAAAGGAGAGCAATTTCTGAAGAAATCCAAGTGATGTATCTCACTTTCATTGACTCTCACTCGCAGTGTTGTATCTCCATCGCCCTCTCCAAGAAGTTGGATTATTGCAAAAAGGACCCTGTAGTCGGACATGCTTCTCGAAGGAAAGGAAGTACGGAGGGGGCAACCTCGAGCAGCGTGTCCGGCCACCCCACGCGCGACGTGAATGCCTCCAAGAATTCGCTTAAGTCAACACCTGCGGCTGCATAATGGGCCACCAACGCCTGGCTTTCATGGTCTCCTGGTCTGGCAGAAGACTGCACAACGGGGTGTGTTTCAAACTGCTGATGCCCCTTTTCAAAAAGAATGTGACCGTGGGAAATCTCAACTGTCGACCTGTTGGTTCGGTGAGGCCGACCACGACAAATCCGGCTGTCGAACCGCTCGCAATTTCAAGTCCTGCAGCTTGATACTGCTGCTGCAACTCAATGATTCTGGCGCACTGCTCCTGCGGGGAGGCTGCTCACACCATCAGTGCTCACCAGATTCTGTCGATTGGCCTGCAAGTTTTGAAGCGGAAAGGAATAACATCTGGGACCTGGAACTTGGCTCTTGATCAATCTATTCTGGATTCTGCCTCTCTGCCATGGCTGTGGGGCTAGTAGCGGCTAGTCTCTGTACAATTTACGTGGCTTGGCGCATGACACAATATCGAAAGTCACAAAAAATCCATTGGATACGTCTGTCCTTGCTGAAGCCAAAGCCCTCGCATGAGGCTCCTGTATGTCCTACAATACAACCACATTTACAGGATCTGCGGTCTGCGGGACATGAGTCATGATCTGCCGTCCTGCGCTTCCAAATGTAGCTCCAGTCATGATGGCGCCTGGCATCGCCTGTTGATCAACAAAAAGCTGTTTAAACAGGAAAGGCGAGGCAAGGCTGAACATCAGTCCCTTCCTGGACAACTTGCACCCCTTGAATGCCACCGGCCACGGCCAAAGGAGGGCTGGCAGACAAAGGAAGTGGCAGCCCTGACACCTTAAATGTGAAATCTACTCATGATTCAAGCTTAGGCCAGAATCGAAACCTCCCAAGTGTGGCGCAACATTACAATAGACAATACATCAATTGTAATTCCTTCTCTCGCACTTCAACAATTCCTTCCAAGCTGCTCCTGGAGCGGAAAACACCTGCCCTGTGCCTCAGCTGCTTGCATACCGCCCCCCCCGTGAGGCTGAAACTGGCTGAGCGCCACAGCCGAGCTGCAGCGGTGCGTGTTGGTTTGTTATACAAGTGCAGAAATTGCGATGCAAGGCACCTTCTCCAGGCCTTACGTGCAAACGTATGAGGGTGCCGGGGCCCGGACTCACAGCAGGTGAAGCGACTTGAAAAGTCCTTAGCGAGGGCATGGGTCGGTGATGCATGGCCTGGCAAGTTGCACCCCAGCCTACTTGCATTCCAACAAACATGAATTCAAAAAGAATCACAACCAAAGTTTCGCCATGCGTGAGGTGTACAAATGCCGAGGCAAGGGCTGTGGCACTTGCAGGAACTGGACTTGCTGTGGCACGTTGAAGTTGGATTGGTAAGCTGGAAGGTGTGTAGCTGGCCCTTGAGGGGCAAACCTGTCATAAGGAGTTTGAAAACAACTATCGCTAGCTGAAGCTTCTACAAATCCTCGTGCATCCAGGTTGCGCAGGAGTTGGCACCGCCTGATAGTACACATTTGGCACCAATTGCGGGGCATGTGGTGGCCAGGTCGCCGCAGGTGGCGCTGGCGGAGGAGCGGGAAGAACTTGAGGAACTGGAGCAAGGACGGTGCCAACAGGGGCAGGGTGCACAGCCATCAGCGGACATCAGGTCTTTGTGCCAAACAGAACTTTATCGGTAAGCCTACTGGCTTGCAGCATTGCTGGTTCCCTCCCAGATTTGCAATTAACCCGAACTGAGAACCTGATCTTGGGGGAAATTCAGCATTATGCGTTCTTCTTCATGGGTCTCGCAGGGCATTGCACTTGCAAATCCACCAGAGGCCGCACTGCTTGAAGGTTATTATTTGTGTCTGATAAATTCTGTGTCATGTGCAGATCATGCCTGTGGGATCTATCGCTATGTCAGGAGGCTGCGGCTTGCACACATGTAAGTCTCTCCTCTCACTCATCTGGCACCAACTACGACACTCAACGACTGGCAACATGTGTAGGAAGGCATGTCCGGTATCCTTTCCTCCCCAGCACCACGACAGTGCTTTCGCTACTCACGCCGGGGCGATCGAGATCTCTCTCGACCTCAAGTGCCAACAGCGTTTTCAAACGAAACGAAACTCTTGGAAAAGAAATCTGCCAGGATGACACACTCACACTCCCATGAAATGTGGTCAATAGGCACTCCGAAGTGTTGCAAACTAACGGTTGGGGCTCCACCAAACCCCCAAGCCCAGGTATCGGTATCCATTCGTTCAATTCAAGGGGCTGTTGGCAGATGCATTTCGCAGCGCGCAAACGGCACGGAGCAAAGGCCATCGTGTTTTGCTTCGATCCTTCAAATCAGGGTTCTCCCGCTTCAGCCAGCACCTGGGGGAAGGGATGAGAGGGAGGGATGAGACAGGAGGCGTGGGCCAAAATCCAAGGCTCAAGAAAGCATTCAGTGATGCAGAATCCAAGTCTATCGAAACCGGGGAGCATCTCGTGCACGCCAAAGGAATTTGGCCCCGCTGCTGGCAGCAATTCCTTAGCAAACACACGTGCGGGAGTCAAAGGCTTGGCCACATTCAAAGGCAGCAGCAAAGGTGCTGAGTCTCTGTCGAGGCTGACTCCACTGCAGTCCAAGGGGAAAATCGCCACTGCTTGAGGCTTATTTCCCGATGCTTTCAATGCAACCAACTCTGGGGATTGCCTTTGCCAAATGATCCGAGCAAAGATTATGCAAAAAACGGCGACAAGCTAGAGAGCTCGATGACAACAGCTTTTGAGGCCATTTTCAAAACCATCTGGGATCCCCGCCTGCCATCTCCATATTGATTTCGAAGACCCCGTTTAAGCAAGGCTATCGATTCTGGTGACAGGAAGCCTTGTGCCTCCTCAAAGCAACCAAAGTAAAAGCAAAGCGCTGCTGTCTGTCTTCAGTTGGTGTGGGTTCTACAGCCACCAAGGGAAATCCTCGTCCAGCTCTCGGATAGCGCATTCCAGCATGCTTTCTCCAGCTTCAACTTTTCCACCAAGGTCCTCGACCAAAGTTGTCAACGATGATCAGCTCTGGAGGGCTCTCATCAAACTTTCTGAGGATGAGGCGCTCCACAAGCACTCCTCTTGAGAATCTTTCTTCTCGCGAAGCACTAGGAGCTCATCATCTCCTAGAACGTGATGGCTGGGGGCGTGGCCTGGCCCTCAAACAAACTGAGGCAACCACTGAACAACATCAGCGCGGCACGCTTCACCTAACATTAATGGCGGGAGAAATGCCAAGGTCAAAGACACAACGAAATCTGAGCACTGCCTTCATATCATTGCTTTTATCTTTCTCGTTGCCTTGCCAGGGAAAATTGAATGCCCACTCTAGGAGATTGAACAAACTTGAAGAAATTGTTTCAACAAGAGAATGGTCCTTTCCACTTTGCGGTTGAAATGCCTGCGGCACTTTGTCTCTTTGCCACGTGTCGCGTGTCGCCTTTTACCACGACGGCATCTTCAGCCTGCTCATGAACAGACAACGTCGGTCACTCCCACTGCGTAAGATTTGCAAGAGCATACTACAAAGCAGGACTCATTTCAATAGTTTGCTTGAGCTTTAGTCAAGTTCCATCTTGTTCATTCAAGCGCAGGTTCAAGAGGTGCTTCGACTATATAGCTTGTTTGCTCTGAATGGCTGGAGGTTCTGCTATCGATTTCCAAATGCTTTGAAATGCTGTGCGTCTCGCTTCATTCTGGGCTGCCCTTCTCGGCCTTCGGTTGCCCTTTGGCATCCACAACCAATTTGAACTCGACAACATCACCAGCTGTGGGAACCTCATGGGCACTGGACTCTCCGTGGCTGGCTGAAACCTTTCCAGTTGTATCAGCCAAGGAGCCGAATTCAGCTGGTTCTTGTGAAGAAAAATGTCTCGGTCACCAATCTTCTGAGCGACATCGCTGCATCTTACCCAGCCAAAGCTGCCACGAAAGAACTTCACAATGCCCTCGTGGCGGTCGTTGGAATCGCTTTCCATGGCATATACTCATTACTCGAGCCCATGCCGCGCAAAAGCCGTGGGTCAAGCAAGAAAATTACACCACCGTAGACCCCAAACAGTTTGTGTTTTTCAAAATCGGAACACTCTGCAACCAGAGCTTGCGACCTCCAGAGCTGGGAGACAAAGGATTGCAAGACAGAGGCGGCCACAGCAGGGAGACAAACGTAAAGGATTGCAAGCGACATGCAGCCCAGAGCCGGGTGACAAATAAAGGATTGCAAGGCAGAGGCGGATACAGCAGTCTAGAGCTGGGAGACAAATGCAAAGGCTTGCGAGGACACATGTAAAGGATTGCAAGGCAGAGGCGGACACAGCAGCCCAGCGCTGGGAGACAAATGTACAGGATTGCAAGGCAGAGGCGGACACACCAGAGCTGGGAGAGAAATGTAAAGGATTGCAAGGCAGAGGCGGAGACAGCGGTCCAGAGCTGGGAGACACATGTAAAGGATTGCAAGCGACACGCAGTGCAGAGCTGGGAGACAAATGTAAAGGATTGCAGGGCAGAGCAGCTGGGACACAAATGTGAAGGGTTGCAAGCGAGAGGGGGAGAGAGGAGGCACATGCAAAGGAAAGAAGGAAGACAAGACGACACAATGACCAACAAGAAGGGGGACAACACGGGAGACAAGAAGTGAGACAAAAGGAAGCAGAGGGGAGACAAGACGGACACAGTGACCAACAAGAAGGGAGACAAGACCGGAGACAAAGGGAGACAGAAGGGAGACAAGGCGGAGACAAGGCGGAGACAAGGCGGAGACAAGGCGGAGACAAGGCGGACACAATGACCAACAACAAGGGGGACAGAAGGAAGACATGCGGACACAGTGAAGGGAGACAAGAAGGCAGACAAAGACAAGGCGGACACAATGACCAACAAAAAGGGAAACAAGAAGGGAGACAAAAGGAAACAGAAGGGAGACAAGGCGGACACAGTGACCCACAGAAGGGACGAGGCGGACACAATGACCAACAAGAGGGAGACAAAAAGGAGACAAAAGATAACAGAAGGGAGACAAGACGGACACAATGATCAACAAGAAGGGAGACAAGAAGGGAGACAAAAGGTAATAGAAGGGAGACAAGACGGGCACAATGACCCACAAGAAGGGAGACAAAACCGGAGACAAAGAAAGAATGAAGGGAGACAAGGCGGACACAGTGACCAACAAGAAGGGAGACAAGAAGGGAGACAAAAGGAAACAGAAGGGAGACAAGGCGGACACAGTGACCAACAAGAAGAGGGACACAGTGACCAACAAGAAGGGAGACCAACAGAGACAAGCCGGACGGAAGGCAGACACGCTGTCCGGCAGCAAGGCGGACACTCTTTGAAAGTATTTAGAACCCCTAACAGTAACCTGTTTGGGGAAGTCCAGAAACTACATGGGAAACACATGAATAGAAATGCTTCATGGCCGGCGGAAAGGGCGGACACCAGCAGTGCAGGCGCGGAAATGGGCGGACACCAGCAGTGACAGAAAGGGCGGACACACCTTAAGAAAGAATTGAGAAACCCTGCGTAACGGCAAACTGTTTGGGGAATGAATAGAAATGTTGCATCGCCAGCGGAAAAGGGTGGACACCAGCAGTGACAGACCTCGGAGACAAATGAACAGAAATGCTACATGGCCAACGGAAAAGGGCGGACACCAGCAGTGACAGACCTGGGAGAAGAATGAATAGAAATGCTACATGGCCAGCGGAAAAGGGCGGACACCAGCAGCGACACAAAGGGCGGACACATCTTAAGAAAGAATTGAGAACCCCTAACAGTAAACTGTTTGGAGAAAAACCACTAAAATCTGCGTGCACTCTGCAAAAACTGTGTTCACCCTGGCCGGTCGCTGCTAGTCGTCAAGTCCCACTTTCAGCTGTCTTTTTTGTCGACCGCGCGCGAAGCTTGCATGGAAACGAACCGGAGCTTGAATGACACATGTTGGGCTATATGTAAGTGGTAGAGAGCAAGAAAGACAAAGGCCAAGCTCACGTCACGGGCGACTGGTGACTGCGCACGTCACGCACGGAAGCGCTCCACTACTTAAACTTTGGTAAGGAAGGAACATACACAATCCTTGCAGGTACCCTAACAAGAAACAGGTTGGAGGCCATTGCTACTAGTATCAAGAAGCTATATACTAGGAACAAGGGGATTATCCCATGGCATTGAACACAATCTAGTAACTATTGATGAATATGCTCATTGCACGTGGCACTCCGTCTGCAACGTGCTGAGGTATTCACAGGGTGTCTGTCTTTTTGCTGTGCAGGCCCGTCATGAACCCTGAACTGAGTGTCAGCCCCTCAACTTGCCTAGCAAAAAAAACAACAAATCTGCCCCAGCATCAAAGCCAGCCAGCCATGTTTGGTGTGAAACGCTGTGAAGCTAAGTGGAGAAGGTAAGCCTCATGGCGCCTCTTTTTTCTTCTCCTAAATTGTCCCGAGTCCACCACAACTAGAAAATGTTGCGACAATGTGCCTAAGAGCGATGGCCCAAACTAGAAGCGATGGCCTCCAACCTGTCTCAAGTTATAAAACACTAAAAAACACTAAAAGAATGTGAGTTCCTTGTCTTTTGCTTTGTCCTTTTCCTTCACCTGTCCAGCGTGATACATCGAAGTGCAGAAGAAACTGCAGTCAACTTTCCCGAACAGCACTCAGCACACCTTCTCTTTGCTTTTACCTTGTTTTTCCTGAACCAACACATTTTGTGCGATGAGTTCTGTGCCAGCCTTTTAGCAGCTAGTGACTAGTGGCAGGAAGCATGCAAAGCCCAACATTTCAACCCCAGCCTTCTCATCATCTTTGTCTTTTTCATCCTTTTCTTTTTTCTCCTTCGATTTTTGCTTTTGATCCTTTTGGCTTTTATTAAGTTTCTTTTTTTTGGGTCTGCTTTGAGAGCTGCTTGAACTACGTCGTCTAGAGCTGGAGCTGCTTCGGCGACGCTTGCGGCGACTACGGCTGCGGCTGCTGCTACTGCGCTTGCGGCTACGCTTGCTGCGGCTCCGCTTGCGCTTTTGGTCTTTCTCTTTGGCATTGCCCGAAGACTTCTGGCTTGCCTCATTCTTCTGTTTGCCGCTTCCACCCAATACTCGGCTCTTTTCTGCTGCCATTAGCTTTCGCACCGTGGCTTCGTCCATTAGCTGCTCAGACTTGCCATCTGAGGCTGCAAATCGACTGCTTAGGTCTGCATCGGTGTAGCCCAGGACCTTCACATGACGTTTCTTGTCAACAACTCCATCTACTCCTGGCCCTGTGTTGCCCATGACAGGCTCACGGCTGTAGATGCAATGCCCTATATTGTAGCCTTTGCGCAAGCTTTCAAGCCTTGGATTCCAATCTGCAAAAAAAGAAGTGGTGCAGCACGGTAGGTTACAAGCACAAATGCGTTCGGAAAAAACAACATGCCCGGAGAGTAGGGTCAGGTCGCCCCGGCAAATGCTGCCAAGCAGAATGCCAAAGTTTCTTAAACTAGGAACACATCACCAATCCAAAATGGGCACAAGCAAAAACAATAAGAAGGAAACATCCAGGCCAACTCTGCCACGGAATAAGGAGGAATCTGTCCGAAGTTTGGGCCAAAGGCACTTCATGCTTACCAAGGCTGAAGGCTTATTGGAGGCCGTGAGGTGCTCATCCAACAAAACGATGTCCTGGGCTGAGAAACGGCATTTATATGGGTTCTATAGGTTCAATTCAGGTAGAATGACAAATCTCCCTTGGAAATGGTCAACAAATTGTTTCCATGATAAATGCCTTTGGCGAATGAAATCAACAACTGGGCCTTGCCTTCTCAACATCTTTGCCCATAGCCTCCCGCATTGACATGGCCTGTGCCCGGTTGCGTCGCCAAGGAAAATCTACAAATCATCCCTGTTGGACTCAAACTCTTGTTGGACTCTGTTGGACCAAAACACTTCGAACGAAAGCGAGTTCCTCCTCCAGTTTGGTTGCAGCCCCTTTGTCAAGCTTGTGCCTTCGAAACGCAACGACTCTCACCCTGGAAAGTACCACACTGCAATTGCTCAAAGCTTCTCAGCAAGTTGAGGCTTTGAAGACCTGAAATTGTGCTCATGAGGGACATCCAGAACTAACCAACCTCCGGGCAAGCTCTCGAACACGAGGGCCACACTTCGCCTTGAAAACACGGGCTGCGCTTTAGAATGGTTCGCTGTCCAAGAAGAAACGATTCCAACGTGTTATGTCTGCGCCTTCCCGACAAAGGTGCCCTTCTGCATGTCTTTCACTTTCAAGTTCAACATTGCCGCAGGGGTATGTGCGTCCTGTGCGTTCGGGACAGTCTGACCACAAAGGTGCGGTTTGCAGCCAGGCAGCTAGGATATGCTATGACTCTGTCATGCACATATCTAAACGTGTTCATGATCAAGTGTGTTCCATCTTCTCCTTGAGGATCTCATACAGCCGCTCCAAGTCCTGCTCCCACGTGTTCATCCTGGAAGGGGTGCTTTGCAACTGCGCTCGATGCGAACATCAAAGCACCCAACCAAAGGCCCCGCATGAATCCAAAGCTAAGTTCGGCCAAGCTTGTAATGATTGGCTCCTCTTCTCAATCATGATGTCATTCAGCTTCTGCGTGAGGCCAGCATCGATTTTGAAGGTGTACGCAAGCTGTTGGATGTCAGGATCCTTTGAAGTCAGCCAGTGCCAAAATTAAAAAATCACAGCAAGCCAAGCGAGCTGCTGCTTCAGCCAGGCAACAAGGTCGTGGTGTTTGGGCTCCGTCTCCAAATCAGAAGAGGAGTCATATCTTTCAGGTTCCTTTCCCTTCGGCTCCTCGCAGGGCTTAGAACAGGGTCATGACTTGTCAAGCTATGAGAGTTGTTTCGTGTTCTGCATGTTTGGCTCAAAATCCACATGCAAATGCTGACACTACCTCAATGGGAGCTGGAGGGAGTTGTTGCGACTCTTCATTCTGCTTGTTCTTCTTCCGGCCTATGCACAATGGCTTGGGGAATTGGACAGCCATATTCCGCTATATCATTCATAATGATAGTGATATTGAGTGACCAACCCATCTTTCCATCAACGGTACGGCGGACAGCGGGCCGCTATCGCACAGCCTGGGCCAGGGTCAGTCCATCACAGACTCATATGTATATACCCCCAAAACATAAAATACTGTAGAAAAGTTGCATCCTGGAAAAGTTTAGCAGAAATCCCCATATCAGCCAACTTTTGCATCCTTTGTTTCAAGCTGCCGTTGTCACACGTGCGCATTCCTGTCCACATACCTGTGAAATGTTTCTTCAGACCGACAACGCTCGGCCGCTCCAATTTCAGCTAAGGAGCTGCCAAAGGTATATATAGTTCTGGCCCGTAGGCTGCTCGAGGGAACACACTTGAGAGACAAAGGAAAATACAAAATGCTTCAAGCATGGTATCACCACAAGCATGCAGCTCAAACTATCCAGCATGAAATCGATGACAACTGCCGGTCTTTATCACAGCAACCTGGGATCAAAGGCTCATTCTGGTGACCACTTTAGGCCCTGTACACTTGTGCTTCAGATCAATCGAGGAATCTCTGGTGTGGTTCCTGCTGAACAAAGCCCGAACCGCCACCTTTCAGCTGGCTCACTAAAGTTGAATCAGGAGACACCATCTGCTTCTGCTTCTTGCATTCCATTCATCAGCTATTAACGTCAACGGAAACTTCTGAGTGAATCAGTGAAACCTTCAACGAGAAATATATAGATCTGTGCTTTTGCGGCGCTACTGACAAATCGTCAGGCCAGCAGGTTCACTGGCTTGACCGTCGCCAAGAGTAGGTTGAAGTCGTTGAACTTGAGAGCATATGCCAAGTACTTACGAGAATGGAACAAGCCGAGAGCTGGAAGGAATTGCATACAAACCACTCCAAAAAAGAAAATGCCAGCAGCCCAAGGCCACAGCCGTGAACCACAATCCCTGGCAACCATAACGAATGTGATGTCCGAGTAGGTGTCGAAGCGACCCAAGATCGAAAGTCCAAGGCCCAAACAACACTCAGCAGGCTGCTTCCGAAAAAGCTGCGTACCCGCGTGAGTCTGAACAAGCAGCCACAACTCAAAAACGATCATCACAATAACTGCACTGAAGAAGAGAATGTGTGCTTGGGATGGGAGGCTGCTGCTGCACACTAGTCGGTTTTCAAAAACTAGCGGGATGCTCAGGATGCCTCCCCAAAACACCAGGACCAAAATCAACAAAATCACCAAAACACTGCGCCTTTTGTCCAGTACGTCCAGAATGTCAGCAGTTTCATCAAACTCATCCAAATCAGCCGGCACTTCTCTGGCAAAACTGGAGGGCCGTTTTGTCATTTTCTGGTCCGCTAGTAAAGGGAGGGCCTCTTTCAGAATGGTCTCCGTGTTCAGCGCAGAGCTTGCCTTGCCGTTCTCACCTTCTTGTCTCTTACTGATCTTCATGACACGTTGGGTCAAAGCAGCCAATTCCTCCTCGCTCTTTCGTTGTCGGATCCATTCCATAACTGGGCCGCCAGCAGATGCAAGCAAGCCACACGAAACTGACGCTATTGTGACGGCCGCGCTGGTTAGCGGCAATGTCTTCCAATGCTCCCACAAGAATAATAGCTGCACACTTCCTTGGCCCAAGTCCTCGCAAACAAGTTTGACCAAGCCAATTAACTTCTTGACAGATGCCATGGAAAGTTCACTTGCTCTCATCGCGAAGCTGCGAAGTTCATCATCTCCGTCAGAAGCTACCTTGGTCAAGCTCAACTTCCAAGATCGTCCATGCTCTTGGTTTGTACATGTGCCAGTGATGGCAATTGGTTCAACATCGAGATCAACGGAGCCAGTGTAAGTTGAATTCCAACCCTGACCGGAGCATCGCAGTGTAACTAGCGTTTTCGCATCCTCCACCACGACGATTCCGCTCAGCTTCGAATCTGGGTTTCCAATGCTTGATTTTCCAACTCCGCTCACAACACCACCACTCTGCAGCAGCGTCCAGGTACCAATGGGCTTGTCAGAGAAGTCAGGCTCTTCAAGCCAGTCTCCACTAACGTTGTACATTCTACCATCAGAAACCTGGACAAAGCATTTCCACCTGTTCAGACTGGTGACTTGATCCAATCGCATCGGAAAGTACTACTGTAGAACTTCACCATCCTAGCTAATTGACAAGAAACTTCACAGTTGTCAATCTGCGTACACGGCCTAAGGATGCACAGGTCAAGTCAGCAATTCAATAAGGCTTATGTGTACTGTGTAGCGGGCTTTTTGTCTGACACTCAAATTTTCAATTGTTTGCCAAAGAATGCATAACATAGCCTCCGCACCTCTTTGGGGAAGTCATGGCCCACGTTTGGGGTGTGAAGCTCGATCGAATCAGGAGGTGAACCCAGAAGTTTGTAAATGCTCCCTGCAGCCTGAACACACGCCCGCACTCCCTGCACATCGAAATTCTCATCACCAAGGGGAGCATTGCAAAAAATGTGCCGGGGAGCACAGGCAGCCAAGACTTCGTGAAATTCAAATGGCATGCAAGCTGGATCCTTATGGAAATGTGTGGATATGCGTGGCATGTACTTTTCCGGCCATGCCCACACGGAAAGGTCTTTTTGCGGCACAGTTTCTGCATACCTCGCAAATGAAGTGAAGCCACAGCTTGTGCCAATCACCTTGATGCGGGGATCAAACACTGCAAGAAAGAGTGAGTTGTGTCCACCCAGCGAATGCCCAAGGGCCCCGATCCTTTCAGAGTCAACCTGCGGAAGGCCAACAAGCAAATCTACAGCACGCAAATGATTCCAAATCCCTTTCATAGTCACACTTGCATAACCTCTCTGATAAACAGGAAAACTGTAGCCGCCAAATCCGGGATAGTCGATTGTAAGCGTCACATAACCCAACTGCGCCAGCTCCAACGCGTAGCACAACTCTCGTGAGCCTCCTAGGCCAGCAGGCTCATCCTTCCCAGTTTGTGGGTTCATTGTGGTCTGGTGAGGGCATAGGACTGCGGGGCAAGGACTTGAAACTTGTGGAATCAAGAGCCATCCCTCGACCTGATCTTGCTCCTCTGGACAAAAACGAATTTTCTGCATCACCACTTTGCAAACACAATCAGGTGTGGTGGGCACATTCTGTGAAAGAATGTCAAACGGCACTGGGGCGTGCAATTCCCTCGCCTTCGCACCGGTCGAAGGAAACCAGCCCATGACAACTTGCATGTTGTGAATTATGTGCCTCCGGCGTTCTTGCCACTGCTCAACATCTAGAATGGGTTGCTCTTGGCTGGCTAACAGGTGGCGGACCACTGAAACATCAGAGTGCGAGCGATAAGCTAGAGGCTTGGCACCCAGTATTGCCGAGCACCTTTCTAGCTGAGCACGCTGGACCACGGCTCTTGTCATGGGCATTGTGAGATCATGGCCATTTGCTGACAAGAAGCTCTGAATGTCGTGTTCAGTTTGGCCCCCGCTCTGGCTTGATAGAAACCGAGCTGTCAATTCCAGAAGGTCGTCACTTTCAGCTTTCTCTGCGCCACTGGAAATGCGTTGCTCTGGGGACAGGGCGGCATCGTCTTCCAATGGCTGCCCAAGCAAGCCTCCCATTGCATGAACCAAAGGCTCGAGCCGCTGCCGGCCAATGTCAGGGCTAACCATTTCCTTGTGTAATCTCTAACGGCACCACGTGCAAAGGGAGTGGGACCGTGAGGGGCTAAAGCGCAACACAAATGCAATCATGCATCGCGCTGTTTTCAAAGAGGCGATATGGCTCGGGCCCTCGTGGCCGGAAGTGAAAGTGTCGTGACGCGCGATCAACCGAAGGTCCACATGAGTCAACGGGTCAAGCACTAATGCGTCCAATCTTCACACTGGGGTATTTTTCTTTTGACTCATGTGCTTCCCTCAGCTGAACTACTGGCTTCTGGAGCCATGCGAGCAACTGATCTCGCAAGTCGACCGAGATCTTGGTCAGGGAGTCTGCCATTTGAAGGCCTGTTGGAATCCAATGGATCGTATGCCGATCAACCACTTCTTGGATACTGCGGATGTTGACCGACCGCTTGTCCTCTGCAGTCGGATTCGATGAACTCACCGAATCATACAGGCTTTTGCAGTCTGTAGCCAACAATGCCCTCAACTTTGGCCCGATGCGATGGGCCGGAACTCCAAAAACCAACTCTCCAAGGATGTACTGCAAGTAAGCCAACCTGTCAGCTGCTGTGTCGGCTGCTACCGATTCAGCTGCAAGCGCCGAGCGGCAAACTCGCTTTGACCTGGATGACTTCCAGTCAACAACAGCCCCATAGCAAGGCTTCTCGGTGACGGTGGTGGGCGTCAACAACAGTACCTGTCCACGCTGACTTGCACTGCCCTGGGCGTTGGCCCAACTTGCGTCGCTGTAGGCCAGGATTGTGGTGCTTTTGTCAATGGGCACAGGGAACAACCGAAGTCCTAAGGCCTTGGTGTCCTTCACATGCTGCAGGTGCTGGTACAGGCAATCAAGGTCACCGTACGTTGTCTCCTGTCCTCTGTTGGACAATGAAACTGCACTGCTGATGTCCAACCTGCTTTGCCCTGCAAGCCATTGTAAACAACCACTGATCGACCTGAACTCTGGCCAATGCTCTGCTGCAAGGATGTCAGTGTTCTTGTTCTTTCGACTGATGTAGCCCTGCTCCAAACTCTCAATGAAGGTCTCCTGAACAATGCGGAGAGTCTGGATGTCACCGGTCTGCTCAAGGTGCAACTCCTTTCCCTTGAACACTAAGGGATGTCCAATCTCAAGGAACTGCTGTGCACCCCAATTGAAGGCAGCTGTAAACTTGTCAAAGGGGAAGGAATCGTTGAAGGTGATGAGAAAATCATCAACGTAACAGATGAGTACTGCAGCTGGCGAAGGTGGGTTATCAGGATCCGGGAAGTAAAACATCATTCTGTCGAAGGAGTGGATCCTGAAGCCTAGCCGCTGAAGTCTGTCTGTCACTTCTTTTGCCCAGGTGTACGGTGCGTTCGAGAGGCCGTACACGTTTCCTGTGATCTCGTAAAGATCACTGGTGAACACCTTGGCTTTAAGCAGGATGGGATCCTTCGGGGCACGAAGGTAAAGCTTTCCAGCTCTTTCGGACAGGTCTTGAGCTCCCTGAAGAAACGCTGTAGTTGCGACACCTGCCCACATCTTCCAAGTCTTGCTGGAGCCAAAGGCTTTTCCATGAAGTCCGCTCAGAAAGATGGCATAGGTCAGCATCTCTGAGATTCTGCTTGGTGTAGCTGCCTGTCGGGTGAGCGACTTCAAGTCGGGTCTTGCTTTCCTCTTGCAACGATTCTTGTCTTTGCCTTAAGCGGAGGCACTCCTTTGTTCTTGTCTCGGTAGCAAGCGCGGCTTGTGATCGCGCTTGCGCTTTTGAGGATCTCGAAGGATCTCCTGAGCTTCTGCGGGTGGAACTGGCTTGAGGGATTTCCACTCCATGAAGCTGGCTTCTTCTTTTTGCGCTGACTTGATGAACTCCTGGATGTACTCCTCACTTTGCGACAAAATGTCGCGGTAGTGAAGCTCCTTTTCGATGGCTTTCTTTTCTTGTCTGGTCAGGCTTGGTGCTCCTGTCTTGTAGTCCTCCACTTCAGTCTCTGTGTCACTTGGACGACTAAAGTGATCATCGACTGTCTTGGCCAACTTGGTCGCGTAGACCTTGTAGTACTTCTTGGATGAAGGCAGTGGAGTGTCTTCTGATCCATCCCAGCCAGGCTCAATCTCCTCAAGTGCATCATCAAAAGCTCTAAAGGCCTGGGTCTTGCGGGATGGCTTGGAGTACCATAGCTCGGTGATGGTGTTCATAGGGCCATCAAAGTTGTGCTTCTCTTCATCTTCGTTGTCAGGATTGAAGACTCCTTCGAAGATGATCTGGTTGGAGTTTGCATCGATGGTCCTCCGCCACTTGACATGACTCATAGGAGGGCCTGTCTTCATCGTCAGCTGTGGCTGTGAAACACAAAGGTCTAGCCGAGCCCAGCATCGCAAATTCTCAAAGGGGCGTGCACACTTGCTCTGGTAGTTGAAGAGCTCAAAGGATGAATTCGTGACTCTGCGGGCCTTCACATCCATCGTCAGTGCGTCAAATGGCCGTTTGGCCGGAAGCACTGGCAGCGGTTCTGTGGGCTCAGCGAGCTCTGGTGGTGTAGCATGCTTCAAGATTCCTGTCTGGTTGGTCATCTTCGCCCGTGAGGTCCACCATGTCAGATGCCTTAGGTACCGGCAAAGGGGCCAGTCCTGAACTTGGTAGAGCTTGAGTCGGTAGAGGTTCCGGGTCCGGAAGGTGTGAGCCACCGCGCCTCCGTGTTAGGCACGCCGGAACTCTCCCCAGGATGTGGTTCTGAATGTTCCTGAGGTGTCTCTTGAGACGGTGCGGCATCTGCAATCGGTGGGACCTCGGGCACTGTCAAAGTTGCCTTTCTTGATGTCTCAAGGCGTCTCTGGCTGACTGGGGTCCGAGATCTGATTCTTCGGCGTGTGTGAATGGCACAGGTGTCATGGCTTGTTCTGTCTCAGGTGGTCCAAAAACATTTTGAGTCTGGCGAATGTTCTGCTGCAGATTGATGACTGTCTGTGGACTCTGGGGCTCATACGGATCATGTACGGCCGGCGGTGGTGAAGTTGTCCTTTGGCCGAGAGGCAAAACCAACGGTTCGGCAGCCTGGGCCTGTGGATGTTCTTGTTGAGGCACATCCAACGTGGGGAAGTCTGCATCCTCGAACTCGAGGTTTTCTGCCTCAGGCGGTGGAACCTCAATGCCTTCTGGGATTTGGTGATCTTCCCAGAGATCATCGGCTATATTCTTCTCAGCCGTCTTGAGGGCACGAACATCTTCTTTGGTGGGGATGTAGTTCTCGTACCCAAAAACATTTCTTGCTTGGCCTCGTGAGACCTTGACGGTGTTTGCACCGCTCTGAACCCATAGGTCACCTGAAGGGTCGCTTCCAAGGTAGCGAGCAATTCGATATCCTTTGCGTTTCCGATGTGAGTGGGTAGTCCATCTCCAATATGCCAAGAGAGATCCTGGTGTTGGGTCCTCGATGGCATCTGCAGAATTCGTCTTTCTCAACAAAGCTCTCCTCAAGGCTGAAGAGGCTGATGCTTCTGCAAGGGCCTTCATGGCTTCGCATCTCATCATGGCCGATTGTTGTTGTGCTTCTGAAGTGGTTGAGCCGGAAACCAAAGCTCTTGGATCGTTGATGAAATCTAGGCCAATCCTTGGGATCTTGCCGAAGGCTGCAATGTATGGCGGACGACCTGAGCTCCAAGTAGCAGCATTCTTTGCATGAAGTGCCGAGATGATGCCATTGTCCAGCTCTTCTGGTGTGGAACATGGTGTGGCATCAACAATTCTTTCGAGCAGCATTCTCAACGTGCCATTGTGCCTTTCAATGACACCCAATTGGTGGTGTGCTTCGGGAGCTATGAAGTCAACAAAGGCGCCACCTTCGTCGAAGTAGTCCTGGAAGTAGGACTTGAAAGCTCCATCATCATCAACTGTCAACCTCAGCGGAAAGCCAAAGTTGCGAACCCATGCCGTCTTGAAGGCCTGTGCAACATGTTCAGGATTTCTGGACTCAAGCCTGATGGCAGCATGGTAGTGGGTGGCTTCGCAGATGATTCCCAAGATGGGGTAGTTGGTGGATCTGATGTCGCGGCAGTAGAAGATGTCTGCCTGCAAATGATCTGCGAATTGGCCCAAAAACTTTGGTGGTGCGGCTGGATTCGGTCTGCCTGGCGGTTTTGACCGAAGACATGCAGAGCACTGCATGGATTTAGTGGCTTTGATCACCTGGTCACTGGTGATGCCGTTCAAGGAGGGTAGCTTGATCAGCTCTCCTGGTGGAAGGTGGCCCATATTCTTGTGCATTCTGGCGACTGCAGCTTTGATGGATCTGTCAATGCCAGGTGTGCCAGGGAAGGTGATCTCATCGTGGAAGATCTCCTTTGTCGGGTTCTCTCTGGCCTGAACTGGTTCTGGCTCCTGGTCACGTTCTGCTGCTTCTTCGCCGGGGACTCCAAGATCTTCATCAGCCATTCTTGGATAGCCGTAGAAGAAGACTGCAATGTCAACTGGTGCTGAAAATCTTCCTCTTGGGAAGTGGACGTCTGAGAGGTCTTCTGCTGTGATGTCGAGCTCCTCTCTGGTGGTACATTTCAGCACTTGTCCTCGGTGTGTGTGAGGAACATGTTGTGGGAGCCTTTGCACAAGAGGCCGGTGCGCAAGCTGAAGTCTGGTGATTTCCCATGGCAGTAGGGCTTGAATCTGGCTGTAGAGAAGGTCATGCTTCCCCAGCATGATGTTGCTCGTACTGGATGAGGTAAAAGGCCGTCTGGCTTGGTCAATCGCCTGTTTCCAAGCTTGCTGATCACTTGATGGCTGCGAGAAAGCGGCATAGACCGTCTTGATCTGGAAGCGCGCAGGGTTGCGCATCTTGGCCACATATCTGATTCCTCTCAAGATGGAGGTGACGCCCGGAGGGTAGTCTTGCGACAAAGTGACTTCTTTGCCCTCCAGAGGTGTGCATTGCTCCAGTTCTGCAGCCGTGAGCTTGTGGTCCAAAAAGCTGGAGGCAAATCTGAAGGCTTTCTTGATTGGCTGACCTTTGGAATTGACTCCGCCGTAGGCAGGTGCTGAGGAATCCATTGGTCTCCTCAAGCATGGACTTGACTGAAGGCTCATCCCAAAGCCGTGAGGTGAGCGGGTTCTCAAGCAGGTAGTATCGTCCTGCCTGATGCTGCATCTTGCACCATTCCATGGCTTCTTGTAGGACCGGCCGGATTTTGTCTGTAGTTGATATTGTCTTGCATCAAGATCCATGGTGCGCAGTGCAACTCCTCTATCAAAACGAGAGGCTCATAGTGTTTGATGCAGCGCCTGACGTAGGCCTGGCGCTCTGATTGAGCGAGGTCATAGCCGGTGTTGTAGTCCATCGGCTGGCATGCTGTGAGGCCATGCGCTGAAGCTCTTTTGGAAATGATGCCACGCCCGGCAAATGTTTCCAGAATGTCAACTCTTGTTCTCTTGGTTCGATGTGTGGTGGCAAGAGCTTCATACAAATCATTCTCAATCTCAGCTGCATGTCGTGCTTTGCGGATCTTTCCGAGCAGCTGCTTGCGATGTCCTGTGTCATTGGAGTGCGTCAAAACAGGGATCCTGGTGTTCCACCGCTGACCATCTCGTCCATGCGGCTTTGATGCTCCGTCCGGGTCCAGTCGTACTCTTCTTCCTCCTCCTGACTGCGGACACTCTGAACGCTCATAGTCATGCCCAGGTCCGAGATGTCGTCGCCCGGGTCGGAGTAAACCGCCACCTGTTGGGCGTAGGCTACCGAGTTCGGAGAACGCCGATTCGAACCCGTCCGAGAAGAGGTTGAGATCGGAGGTGGTGGAAGAGGCATAGGTGAAGGTGGTTCCTGCTTGGGCCTGGTCTTGCACTTGCTCGAAGCTCCGACTGCCGCTGGCTGGGAGGAAGAGGCCTTCTCCAAGATATTTAAAGAGCAAGGCTGCGGCAAAGAAGATCTTTGAGACACAGACCAACCAGCCGATGCCTCCCATGCCTGCTTTTCCGGAATCCACTTCACCCGGCAATGGCACAGTGTGCACGTCGCAAACGACCCGTGCTTGTTGCCGTGCCTTTTCCATTCTGGATGGCTGCAATCCGTGGGCATCTTGAGGGGCTCTCTCTTCATCTTGGCCATGAGCGTATCGAGCTCCCTCTGCTGATTGGTCTCGCGAAGGGTGAGCCAACAGCGACGTTCCATGCCCAGCTTCACCATCTTTGACATCCACTTGAAGGTGGTGAACTCGATGCTCATGAGGAATTGGACAATCCTCCTCCATGCCTGAATCCATCGTGGAGGAGCGGAAGGCATCAGTGCACGAAGATCGAGGTGCTGAGTCTTCGGGCCTTGAGTGCTGCTGAAGTCGAGGGTGCAATGAGATCACTTCAGGATGAGGGTCGTGCCAAAACTTCTCATGCGACAACTGTTTCCAAACATCCAACTCATGCACACGTGAACTGAAATCAGCAATGCAAACTGCCAAATGTCCATTAACCTTCTTCAACTGCATGCTCACATCTATTGCTTTGAACTGAATTGTGGGTGAGGCACAATCAATGACTGCATGCATGCTTTCCAAAAACGTGTTTGAAGCCAACAATGGAATGTTTGCTGCAACAGAGCTTGCTCCAACCAACATGCGATGACCGTCCAAACAAACAGGAGTGTAAACTCGGTCCTTGGCAGTGATCGGATCTCCAGCTCCAAATTGGAAAGCCTCGGGCGCAGTGATCATCTTGCAATAAAGGCGGTGTTGCGCAAGGAGTTGTTGATGGGAGTGCAACCACGACTGACCACAACACATACGCTGGCGTGCGGTATCAATGATCATCAACCCAGCCAACCCTGCCAATGCATCATTGTTCAACAAAACCTCAAATGCACTGCAAAAGGTGACAAAGGTGAAGAACGGTGGTTGCTCAACCTGTGGTGGTACTGAATGGTGTGTGGTTGAACCATCGTCCCGGTAGACCGTGGAGAAGAGCACCTTTTTCGACTGCGAGGATGAAGGCATTGGTGAAGGCTTTCCTTTCTTACCAATTGCTTTGGAATCACCTTTGCCTTTTCGACTTGCTGCACATTCAGCATCACCTGCCCAATGCCCTTGAAGGCCACAGGCGGAACATGTCGAAGTCTTCTTGCGCTCTTCGATGGATTTGGTGCCACTGAACTTCCTGCCCAATGTCATCGACTGCAACTTTCGAGCGGTCACTGTGAGGACCTGTGCCAATGACTCGGGATCTGCATCTTCCAACTCCTGAGGTTCTTCTGGGTCCTCAGGATCCTCAAACAACTCTTCATCAGCCAACTCTTGACCATCTTGATCAGGAATCAACTCTTCTTCATCATCGCCGTCTTCAGCGATGGCATCAAGGGCTGCTGCATCGTCATGTGCAGTGACAAAGGCATGCTTAGCCTTACCTTTGCCCTTTCCCTTGCCCTTCGTGAAACTCGAAGAGGTCGTGGTAGATGCGGACGACGAGGAAGCTGATGAACCTGGATTTCCAAATTGTCGTGACTTGATGGGCTGTCCATCTTTACCAAACAACTGTGGAGGTGGCTTGTGCTCGGGGAAGGACATGCACAACGACTCACACATGGCACTGTATGACAAGTTGTAACCTGCACCAATCAAAACCAACCTTTGGTTTTCCGGGGGCAGCCGACTGCGTTCCAACAACCTATTGCCCCGGCTCTCTTCGTCATACATGCCTCGAACATCGACTGAGACAGATTGCAATGCTTGTTCAGCTCGACGATACCTGTTTGCAAATGCTCGTAGTGACTCCGAAGGCTGTCGAACAATGCTTTCGTAATCAGCCATGAGCTTGCGTTTTTGGTATACCAACTTTGTAGCCAAACCTGCTTGCAATGTCTGCTCAATGTATTCGACGCCGTCCGATTGATCCAAACGCTCCAAATCACAATGCTCCAGTTCCTCTTCAGCTTCTCCGGTCAATGAGCTGTAGAGGAACAATGCGGCATCGCGCCGACTCATGAAGCCAAGGATCTGCTTCTTCCAAATTGCCAACTTCCTTTGCTACTTTGGGAAGCTCCTCAAATCATCTCGGGAATACCGCCATGCTGGAGGATTGGGTGGCGCACCTGAACGAAACTTCACACCGCGCTCAGGACCCATCCTAGAGTTCCAGCTCTTGGAATCCGAGTGATCGCTTCCCTTGGAGTCAACAACATTCTGCAATGCACGAACCAGGTTGCTGATCGACCTTGTCAACCCAACTGATTGTCCTGCTGCTGATTGCCCCTGTGACAATGTAGGCAACTGTTGCTCAATGTCAATGCCTGTACCACCAACTGCTGCTGTTGTAGCATCATCAACTGCTGCTGCATTGTATTGGGCTCGTTTCCTAGATCGACGATTTCGACGGCGCTGGGCACCTTGTGGAGACAAAGTGTCAGGGTCAACAATCGGATCCTCGGTGCCGGCTTCAGACTCTCCGCGCTCGCGTCCTTCTGGAAGGCTTGAAGGGGGCTTCGAAGGTCCAAAACCTAACTGGTCGTCAACAGCTTGCTCTCTCGACGGGTGCTCAACTGGAGGAACATCATCCGGAGGATGCAATACCTGCGAGGCCGAACTCTGCCGTGGCATGAAAACCCAAACGCCATCCTCAGTCTCATGTCGCACAGGCTGGGACACACGGTGGTAGTCAGCGCTTTGGCAATCGGCACACTTCCAACCTTCACCCGTCCACATGAACGTACTGTTGCCACACTGCAAGCAACGCCAACTGTCCGTATCGTCTGAAGCGACGGAACGACGAGAGCGATGCGAGGCGGCAGAACCATCATGGGAGAACATTGGGAGGTCCTCAAAGTCAAACATCAACCTTTCGGGATGCGACCGAGAACCTGCAACCAAGCTCCGGTGCCCAACTAACGGCACCACGTGCAAAGGGAGTGGGAAAGTGAGGGGCTAAAGCGCAACACAAATGCAATCATGCATCGCGCTGTTTTCAAAGAGGCGATATGGCTCGGGCCCTCGTGGCCGGAAGTGAAAGTGTCGTGACGTGCGATCAACCGAAGGTCCACATGAGTCAACGGGTCAAGCACTAATGCGTCCAATCTTCACATAATCAAAGGAGGACAGCTCCGGCTCTGGCAAATGCAATAAAGGAATCTCTGAGGCTTGGAGCTAATTTCAGTAAGGGGAAAGCATAAGCTTGTGAATAAAACACTTTCCTGCACTCGCTGCGCTTGTACAATGAGTTGATTCCTTCTACACTGTTTCTAGGTCTTTTTGGCGGGATGCACTCATGCAGAAGTCGTAAAGGATTTTGCACTGTTGCTGGCATTGCCCATCTGAAGGTGCAAATCGATTGTTTAGGTCTGCATTTCTCCATGAGTTCTTGTCGCTGGTTTCTGCCACTCTATCGCCCGCCCCCCATCACGGGCTGACGGCTGCATCCACCAGAATGATGTCCTGGACAATCAAAAGCATCTCTACGTCCAATCTGCTCAAGTAGAAGGTGACTCGTAGTGAATACTAATCAATAAACTGTAATTGCTGGAGCTCATTTTTAGGGCTTGCGGACCACTAAACAGAATTAGCCAGATCTAAAACACAACCGCGCCCCGCCTTCTCGACATCTTTCATGGCCTTCATTCAAGCTGTAGGGCCAAGTCCAACATGCACGCCTTGCTCTCGCTCGACTGTGTTTGACCAATCATGCGGCTCCACGAGCACCATTCCGCAAAAGGCATTTCTCCAATAGCTTTCTAGCTTCTAACAAGTGAGAACGAGACCCCACCACAGGCCAGCATCGATTTTGAAGGTGTACGCAAGCTGTTGGATGTCAGGATCCTTTGGAGTCAGCCAGTGCCAAATTGAAAAATCACAGCGAGCCAAGCGAGCTGCTGCTTCAGCCAGGCAACAAGGTCGTGGTGTTTGGGCTCCGTCTCCAAATCAGAAAAGGAGTCATATCTTTCAGGTTCTTTTCCCTTCGGCTCCTCGCAGGCTCACAGGGATTAGAATGATTAGAACAGGGTCATGACTTGTCAAGTCATGAGAGTTGTTTCGTGTTCTGTGTGTTTGGCCCAAAATCCAGATGCAAATGCTGACACTGCCTCAATTGGAGCTTGATTCTGCTTGTTCTTCCGGCCTATGCACAGCAGCTTGGGGAATTGGACAGCTTTGTTCCGCTATATCATTCATAATGACAGTGATATTGAGCATCACAGCCTCATATATATATTATATATATATATATGGCGACCACCCCCCCAAAAAAAAGATGATACTGGAAAAGTTTAGTATAGAAGAGCTCCCCTTTGTTTCATGCTGCCGCTGTCACCAAATATTCTGTGAAATGTTTCTTCAGACCCGTCCAGGGTTGGACAACGCTCGGCCGCTCCAATTTCAGCTAAGGAGCTGCCAAAGGTATATATAGTTCTGGCCCGTAGGCTGCTCGAGGGAACACACTTGAGAGACAAAGGAAAATACAAAATGCTTCAAGCATGGTATCACCATAAAGCATGCAGCTCAAACTGTCCAGCATGAAATCGATGACAACTGCCGGTCTTTATCACAGCAACCTGGGATCAAAGGCTCATTCTGGTGACCACTTTAGGCCCTGTACACTTGTGCTTCAGATCAATCGGGGAATCTCTGTGCGAAACAGGTGTGGCTCCTGCTGAACAAAGCCTGAGAGTAGCAAGCGTCCATCAACTTCACAGAGACTTGTTGGCTGAAAAGTTGGCTCAGATGATTCCATTTTCCAAGCACCAAGGGCTTCAAGAGAACTTAAATCCCAAGCCTCTACCCGTCCAGGTAACAAGGCCCACAGCCGAGCCCCTCCACGGATGTTTCGGGACATGTGCAAGGCAATGAGTCCGCATGAAAAGCCTTCTGGACTTGCAAAGCCTTGTGCTAAGCCTAAGGGAGCATCCACACGAGGTCTCACTTCATGAGTCAGCACACTTTGGTTGGCCACTTCCAATGCTACGAGGGGAATGTGCTGTCCATCCCATCCGGCAAGCAAGTAGCAAAGGTCAGCCTTTCCACCTGACTGGTCTGACAGCAGCAACTTGATACTGGCGCATGGTAGTTTGGTCCCTGCAAGCTTCATCCATGGCTGACCCTGAATCGGAAGATGCTGAGTCAAACCAGAATCCGCACCCCATTTCAATGCAAGAACCCTGCCTCCATCTTGCAGCTCGGCTGTGGAGCACCCTCCGGCACCACAGTCCAAAAGCAGCATTCCAGGGAAAGAATCCATTGAAACAGGGCTGAATTGAGCAGTTGAAAAGGCATCAAAATGAACTTGATACTGCATATACGGACTCTCAATGATAATGCTGGCAGTGGAGCTGTTTGCATCTCCAGCCTGGCAATAGAGTGCAGCTGGGTGAAAGAAAGTGCTGTGCGGCCACTGGGCGGGCACATTGGTCAAAGGAAGCGATTCCCGCAAGTCCCCGCTCCCTTCCAGTCGCCGCCCAAAGGTGGATTGGCCGGAGAAGAGGCCCAGGCTATTCAACAAAGACTCTGTACCTAAGAAAAGCCAACAAACCTGCAACACAGCTGTCATCCTTCGCACAGACTTCCAAGGTAAGCGATGATGGCCAACTCGCTTGCGAGACTTGAAGAAAGGTCTGGGTTCCAGATCTTGCTCGCTGACACCCATAGCCTCTACATCTCCTCTCTCAGCCATTAAGAGTGCAGTCACTTCGTGCTCAACATCCTGAACTCGCTGGAAAACCTGATTCATGTCAAGAACCTTCGTACTGGGTGCCAGTGTCCAAACAGCAACATTGCGTGCGAGATCATAGTGCTGCGTTGATCCATCTGCCCTTCTTTGCAAAGGTCCAATGACTGCACCATGGAATTCATTCTGCTGCTGTTCCAATTCAGTCAGTTCGTTCCAAGTTCTCAAAGCACGAGCATCCAGATGGTTTGGATCATAGGGCACCCCACGTCTGCTCTTCAACTTCATAAGGCAGCCGTGGTAGCGCTGACGCCACTTGAGGAATTCACTTCGCAAATTGCGAAGTTGGTTTGCTTGAAATGTTGTCAGCAAGTCTTCTGGAACAGCCTCCCAGCATCTCAGGGCAGACTGAGCACTCTCCATTGCAAGAATGGAAGCTGCGGCTTGTGTCTGCTGGACCTCTCGTCTGCCCACATCACCTGCCTGCTCATCGAGATTTCCATCCACTCCAGCAGTCACGGTGACATGCTCTGCTTCTGTGGGATCATATGCCGCATCACCGAACACATCCAAAAAAAGAACGGTACGGAATCGCCGTGGCAAGGAGGCCTCATCTTTCGTTGGCCTGGCAGCCTGCATGAAAAGTTCCAACCACAAGGCTTCCAAGAAGGCACATGCAGGAGCTGCATAGAATGCCGAGCACAAGGCTTCAATTGGTTCGTTGGATTCCCTGCCAACATTTGCAAATGTTAGCATGATCACCAACAAAACCATGGGCAAACTCCCGACAATCTGCAAGGACATGATCTGCCAGGTCTTCAGTCCAGCAATGTCCAGGAACATTAAGCCAAAGGCGCATGATTGGAAAATGATCGTCGCTGCATAGCCACAGCTCGGCGAACATGTCTGGATCATCGTCACACCTACCACAAAGTAATTCACCGATTGAATCATCTGGTTCACTCCCAAAGCCATGGAAACCCGAGCGTAAGCATCATAGCACTGCCACTTGGCCTGCAACTTCCGGAACAGTTCCACGTGCTTCCCTGGAACGCTGGCTGCAGCCTTCATCAAAAGATCTTCACGACCAAAACCCTTATCCTCTTGCACTCCCAGTCGTGTTTCTGGTAAAGCGTTTTGCTTTGGTCCACTCAAAGCCTTTGGGCTGCCTGAACTCTGAGAAGCGGAGGCATCTTTTCTTTGTGCCTCCAACTGCCACTGTTGTTCCTGTGTTGGTCCGAATGGGAGTCGCATCACTTTAGAGAGGCCTTGTTTTTCAAAGTCGGACAGTTTTGTTGTCAGGCTTTGAATCTGGGACAAGTTGGGAATTGGAAGTCTGACATATCTCGTTCTGAGGCGCACTCCAAAGCTGTGTGAAGCAATCGAAGCATACATGCTCAACCACACTGCCAAGAGCAAATACACAAAGGAAGCCGCCACCGTTAACAAGTAGAGTCCCATGAAAAAGGATGGTTGTGGGCCTTCTATGATACCCTCACAATAAACAAGCGCGGTGAAACTCAAGAAGAGTGCTCCAACAATGTGATACATATCCATCTTGTCGACTGTGAGCTTCACCAAGTCCTCAATGTCTTCTCGAAAAAGGTCAAAGCGATTGATCTGCATCTCCACTCTCTGCATATCTCGCTCGAGTCGCTGTTCCTGGTCAAATTTGTAATTTTCTCGGTTGTAATCAAAGAGCTCCTTGGAGGCAAGCCCGAAAGCTTCGAGGACCACCATGGCGTTTGTGGCGCGGCTGCGGGCAAAAGGGGTCCGCTAAAGTTAGGGGAAAGGGAAGAAAGAACAGCTGCAACCCGCCTGCCCAAATTGATAAAATTATAGGTAGATGTTTTTGTATCATGGCATGCGTGCCTTAACTTCATTGTGCAAATTGCGTCCTCGCCTTCGTCACTCGCCTGCAGTTTGAACCAAAGCGTCGAAATAGTTTCGGCTCAGGGCGGGAACCGGGAACAAAGACTCTACCAACCCGCCAACTGTGTTTGGCATGGCGTTTCGTTTTTGTGGTTTGAAAAGCACCACGCGCTCTTTTCAGCGCACAGATTCGGGCCTAGATACACAGCGTAGTCCTAATGCACACCTGATGACCTTCCTGCTAGATTCAACACGGCTCCCATAGCGTCAGGTATGCAGTGTGTGCACGGCTTGAGGGTCCTGACACATGTGCTGTTCACAAGGTGTCCACATCCCTGCACGTGGAAACATGAGCTTGTTCTGCCCACGTACCAGACCTTTCGGTCTAAGGTGAACTTTGCCTCTTCCAGTCGTCCCCTCAGTTCACCTTGTCCTTGCATTTGACATTCAGTCGCCCTTTTCTTCCATATCTCAACAACTTCCCATGCTCTGGCCACCTCTTCTGCCATTCTTTCCATTTCTTGAGATCTTTCATCTTCATTTCCGGCGACCCGGATGGCTTTCTTTCTTGCTTCGTCCCTTTCCTCCTTCACTGCCTCAAGCTCAAAACGCAGCTCAGAGCGCATATTGTACATTCTCACCACTTCTCGCGACTGACGATCACGTTCTTCTCGAACTTCCTTCAACCTTTCTTCTTGCTCAGCCACAGCCACCTCCAAGTGCACTATTTGCCATTGCATGTTCACCTTCTCAGGGTCATTCTCATACTGGCTGCTCAGGCTGATTTGCTGCTTCTTGTGCCTCTCTTCTCACATGCGGGCCAACCGCATCACTTCCTTCATCATTTCGTTGTTGCTGCACAGGTCGTTGGTGTTCTCGTCCTCCGCTGAGCCATGTCTGCAACGCCTGCATAGCCATCCGTGCCAAGCTCAAGGCCCCAACACTTGCCAGGCAGATCATGGTGATCAGCAGCCGAATCCACCATGCCTCCGTGCCCTCATTTTCCTCAATCTCGTGCTCCTCAACCTCTGCACTTTGGCCTCCTTGCAGTATAGGGACAATGCGATCACCACTGCATTTGCTCCAAGGGTCTTGGCTAGCTTGCCGGTGTTCTTCTTCAGGTCCTCTTTCATCTTTATCTCCTGGTACTCGGCATACCCGATCTTCTCGTCATCTCCATTGACCATCTTGATGAGGTACTTCAGTCCACTCATCCTCGCTTTGCTCAAGACCTTCGTGCCGATGTCGCTCGCGTTGACTGCCGTAGGGATTCCAGTGACCCTCAACTCTTTGGCTCCTACTTTCTGTTGCAGCCATAGGAGTCCTGTGTTCTCCCGACACCCACTCGGCCAGCCAAAGATCGAGCCGCCGACGAGTCACTGCGGCACACCATCTCCAGGTCCTCTTGGTCAGGAACTTCCAGCAATGCTTGATGAACAGTCCCTCGCTGCAGCCTCCAACCATTGCCACATATTTGGGTCCTCACATAGCTTTCCAGGAGGCATCCGTCCAGGTAGATCTGGACTGAACTCACACTTTTCCTGCTGTCTCTCTGCCCTGCATAGTCAGCATCACATACCACTTCAAGCATGCCCTTCACCTCGTCGTCGATGTCCCATTCATAGATGTTCTCCTCGGTGTTCAGCATGCTTCGGCCTTTGGGTCCATGCTCAAACAGAAGGCCTTCATCCATAGTACCTAACAGGTACGAGCTGACGTGTCTCATGGCCTGCCAGCTGTTCTTCGCAGGCTTCTGCATGAATGCTGCTAGGCCCTGGGCGATGTACTGCACATCAGGTCGATCAGGGGCAATGTAGAGCAGTTTGCCAACAGCACTCCGGTAGACGGTGATGTCGTTGTAGTCCAGAGGGTCATCCTCTTTACTCAACTTGGTGAAGTTGCCGTCTCCGGGAGTCGACCTGCATTTCCTCTGTTCCACCTTGGTCAGTCGTGCGAGCTCTTTGATGTGCTGCTTGTCGGGCCGGATGGTGATGCCTCTGTCAATCAACTCCATCTCCCTCTTCAAGTAGTTGAAGCTACCTGAATACAATGGCCTACGCTTCTCCGTTTTCCAGCCTTTGGACTCCATGTACTTGATGAACTTCTCCACTTCCCCTTCATGGCCAATCAACAACAAGTCGTCCACATGGATGGTCAAGTATAGCTGGCCATCTTTGTTCATCTCACCTGGGTCGTCAGGCTTCTTCATCATCGTGGGCTGCATCACATCTTGTACCAACCCGAACTCCTTTGCTACCTTGCAGAACCCTTTGAACCATTGGGCTGCAGCGTTTCTCTGACCTGGGAGATTTCTCTTCAACCTGTAGGCGCCGTTCTCGGTCACGATCATCGCTTTCTCATCCTCAGGCTGGTCCATGAGCAAGAATGCATCCTTCACGTCCAAGGTGTAGAGAGCCAGACCAGTCTTCATCTGTAAGCGGAGGAGCATTTGTACCACCACTGAAGCTGAGGTGGGAGCGAAAGCATCTTCTGTGAAAACTGACCATTTGAACTGTCTCCCAACCAGACGGGCCCTTCTGAACCAGCCGCCTTGCTCATCTCGATGCTTCCAAGTGATCACCATTTTGGAAGTCAGGACATACGAATCCTCATCAGCAGCTTCTCCTTCCCTCAATTTCTCAAGGACACCCATCTTCTCGAGGCGCTCCTCTTCGTGCTTGCATGCCTCCGCATCCAGCTTCTTCAGCTCCTCTTCATCAACTTCAGGAGGCTTTCCTTTGCTTCTGTCGATGTCCTCATCCTCGCTGTCGTCATTGAGCTGCTGTTGCAACACCTCCTCGGCCACCATCTCGTCTCCTCCAGGAAATTCCTCCTGGACGCTCTGGATTCTTCTCTTCGGGCTCATTCTCCTCTTTTCATCATCTTCATCATCCCAAGGCAGAGCGTATTCGCGCTTCGTTCCAACGGGAGGTGTCACCGGTGCAAGGTTCCCAACAACCTCTTCCATCCTCTGCCTCTTCGGACTTGTCTCCACCTCGTGAGGTCCTGGTGGAAAGTTCCGTGCTGGCTCACCCCTCATGGCCTCTGGGATTGGAAGTCACCACCTTCCTCTTGGGGCTCTCGTCATCTTCTGATGCCAGCGGAATTCATGGAGCTCTCGAGGCATCAAAGGCCTATCACTTTTGATGGTGTCTTGGGTACTGCTGTCGCCGCTGGTGTTGCTGGAACCGGCACAATGGTTGGTGTTCGTGCTGCCGTTGTCCTTGGTGCCGGAGTTGGAGCCATGGGTGTCTTGCCTGGGGTCTTGGGGTACCCATCTGGTGGAACACCTGGTGTGCTTGGTCCTGCAATGGGTCCATGGCCATACATGCCAACAGCCACTTGTTCTCCGATCAGCTTGGCCTCCTTCTCCACCTGCTCGTCACCCACGGCATCCTCTGCTGCATCTGCCAGCCGTTGACGTGCTGCAAACTTCGTCTTCATGAGGATGCCTTGCACGGAGTACTGCCATGGGAGACCTCGGCAGTTGATCAGCATCTGGCCATCAAACTGATCAGGCAGTCTTCGAATGGATCGAGCCTCAACTGCACCACTCCGGGTTAGACAAATGTGGCTGTCACTCCAGGAACTCTTTCCGACCCACACTCCTTTCCTGTACACCGGCTCGCCCTTGTGCTTGAAGGCTGTGACATCCTTGAAGAGCACTGTTTCTCCCCACAGAGCTACCTTGCCCACATAGCGCCTGTCTGTCAGCACCTCAAAGGACGTAGCACCATTGATCACCCTGTACCTGAGCATCAGCCATGCAGCGTGTCGAAAGCTCCACGGGTAACAGTGCATATCTCCAGTCAGCTTCACCCCGGCCTTCTCCTCAGCAAACTGACGCAGAGTGTTTGCTAGCTTCCTCACTGACTGCACTGTCCTCTCTGCTTGGCCGTTGGATGCATGTTGATCCCGAGACGTTGTCCTAATCTCGGTGGTCAGGCCAAGAGTGGCTCGACAGGATGGCCCTCAGGATCTGGCGTGTAGCTCGCTCTCCATCAGACTGAAAGACGATGGGCTGGGTGTTTGCAGACCTGCATGCTGAATCTGGTGAGCTCCTCTGTCACTTGCTTCAACGATGCACTCCCTTTTGCCTGAACCGGGATGCACATGGTGGCCTTGGACTCTGACTCTGCCACATACAAAGCTGTGCCCCACTGTCGGTCCTCAGGAACACCAGTGGTGTATGTGAACCCGTAGTCGAAGCTTATCACGGGTCTTCCTCGGTCTTTCCGATCAGTTTGATCTTCTTTTGTCCTGGGATCTTCTCTCGACCGAGTGGCGACACATTGTTGGCACCAAGACTGAAATGGGAGGTGGGTGAGCTGATGAAGTTCTTGCTCGTGGCGGCTTGGCAGTTTTGGTGTCTTCAATGGAATGGCTTCTCGCCTGCTCTCACTGAACAACCTCTGGGCGATCTCATAAGCCATTTTCTCCTCTTGATGGTGTTTGTAACTTTGAAGCCGCCGCAGCACCTTGATCTTGGAGCCAGATGTTGCCAAGCCTAATTGCTTGCAAATTTCCTGCAAGTCCTTCAATTTCGTCTCCTTGTCAAACCAGGTCTCGTCTATCTGGATCCTCAGCTCGTCGGGGTCTATGAAGGCAGCATCTTCCAAGATCTCTGGTCGTCCACCACTTCCAGCGGCCAACATTGGCAGTTCACCTCCTTCTTCATCCCTCTCATCGTCCAGCCACGAGGATGGCTCCCCGCTCAGAAGGGGTACTGGCTCACTGGGACCTCAGAGCTGACAACAAAGTAGTCGAATCAATCGCGGTGCAACGAAGGTCAAAGCCGCACGAGGTCCTCCTGGCAGTGGTCGGTATGGCAACGGGGTATCTGCATAGTTTGCCAAGCTCTCCACCTGCTCCCATGCTCCACTGTTGTCCTTCTTCTTCAACAAAGTCATCCTTCCACACCATTCTGGACCAAATGAGAGACTTGGGTCCACAAAATGAGTTGCCTGAGGACTGGAGTGAACGACGATCCCGTTGGGTAGAGCGTGCCAGCCGGGCATCTTCTCGAGCAGTGCCAGTTCTCTCGAGATGAATCCATACAAACTCGTTGCTTCTCCTCGAACAGGAAACACACGGTTGTCCTCTGCAACATCCACCACTGGGCTGTCCGACAACTCTAGGGGTTCGTCCTTCACCATGCCCTTCCGCAGTTTCCAGTTCTGCCACCTTGCCATGCGGGCTTGCACATTTCCATCCTCACTGCTGCTTGCTTCCACGAAGACATCTCCGGACTCCTCTGTGGTGTAGCCGGGTGACCTTTGGCTATCTTCAACCTCCTCGCCCTTCAGCTTCTTTGTAGGGCCTTCCTCAACTCGAACTCTTGTGGCATCGGGTTCCACCTGTTGGGACAGCTCTTGCATCAATGCCAACATCTGTTGATCCTCCTCTTCACTCACCTTCTCTTTCTCTTGCTCCTCAACGCTCAATGGAGTGGGTTTCCGTTGTCAAGTTCGGGGCAATCTCCTGAATGTCCTTGTCATTCGAAGCCATGGCCTCCATCTCCAGCGTCTCGTTGTCCTCGGCTCGGACTGCACAAACTCTCACGTCCATGACCAGTGAATTCCTTTCAAGCCGAGCTGGGATCTTCAAGTCCTTCTCCTTGTGCTCCACGTATAGGCCTTGGCTATCTCGAGAGAGCACCCATCCTTGCTTGAGCAACCGTCCAAAACTCATCAAGGGGTGCGTCACACCTACACCCATAGCAAACTGCTCCACAAACTCCACCATCTCTCCTGCTCCGGTGTAGGCTTGGAGTCGAAGTCGCCTGTTTCCGGCGCTCTTGATGGCACCTCCTTGAGCATCCATCATGCAAATGGAACGTTGGCAACCAGGTAGTCCCAGGGCGTGGTACTGCTCTGGTGCCACTGACACATCTGCTCCCGAATCAAGCGTCATCACGACATTGGGAGCCTCGTTCCTCACCATGCACACATTCTGAATTTGGCCCGTGACATCTTTGGATTGGGCTCGTAGGGCATCACTTCCTGTTTCTTCCATTGATGGAGTCCGCAACGGCATGCCCTCGTCATCACTCTGGCAGTCGTAGAAGATCTCTTCCGTCTCATCTGGCAACTCGTAGTGGCTCCGGATGGCCACGACTGGCAAGACTGTCTCACCATCCTCATCCGTCATCAGCTCCTCAGGAGCGTCGTCCTTCGTCAGGTCGAAGACCTCCATCGTAGCCAGTCCGGTCGGCGTCACCAATCTCACCCTCCTGACTCCTGCCCTGTAGGTGGAGTGGGAAGATGGAGTAGCTGACGCCCCACTCGTCTGGCCTTGATCTTTGCCTTGTTGTCCAGCTGATGCGGTCTTGTTCAACTCTTGTCCTTCTTGATCTTCTACCTTGTTCACACGCTTCGGGCTCCAGCATTCCCGAGCAAAATGCCCAGGCCTTCCGCAATTGTGGCATACTTCACTGCCACCCTTGCCTTTCTTACCATCTTGTTTTCCTGAGCCTTGCCGCCCTTCTTGCCTCCATCTTTGGACCAGGAAGTCTTCTCCTTTGAACTCTTTCCCTTGTCCTTGCCTTTCTTTCCTTTCTTGCCTCCTTTCGACCATACGGCGTCAATCTCTTGATCTCCTTGGTCCATCAAAGGCTTCACACTCATCTGCAGGCCACCATCACTGGACCATCGTTGGCTCACCTGCTCATACATCTCGATCCGCTGCCTCAAATCCTCAAACGTAGTGTCATCCTGCAGCGTCATCTGTATGTGAAGCCTGAGGGTGGCTGGCAAGGCTGACAGCACCGAGGCGATCTTCAGGTCGTCCGAATACGTGACGTTTGCACTGCGCTCGTACTCCCTGACCATCAAGTCATACTGTGGCAGCTGCTCAGTCACGGTCTTCGTCCCGTCAAACTGTATCTTGTTCAAGGATTCGATGAGAGCCAGAGAACGCTGCCTTGTCTTCGGCTGAAGATCCTGGGTGGTCATTCGCCAGGCCTCAAGACCCCGAACTCCGTTGGACATCGATCAGGCCATGTAATGCCTGCACCAGCCCCTGGCGCACCTCCAGGAGGTGCTCCAGCCGCCCCGCCAGTGCCGTCGGGCTCCGCAGTGTCCCCCATGAGCGCGACCCGGATACTAGTCCACCCGGGTTTTCGGTGGACCGTACAACCCCGGTGGTTTGTCCCCCAAAAGGGTCCCCGCTGGAGTTGACAGGGGCTGCCTGTCAGAGCTCCGCTACCATGAAAAGCACCACGCGCTCTTTTCAGCGCACAGATTTGGGCCTAGATACACAGCGTAGTCCTAATGCACACCTGATGCTATCATGCCTTATGACCTTCCTGCTAGATTCAACATGGTTGCAATTTCCTGCCTGGACAAACGGAAAACCAAGCTGTTACAAATATGACATGCCGCAAAGGGTAGACAAGTGCACCCCTTAAAATGTGTAAACTTTAAACGTAACTTTTTTGGCGCATGCGCGGGTCTTATTAAAGCCTTCCTGACCCAAATGCATTCGGGCCAAACCGGGCCAAACCTTACACATGAATTTCCAGTGGCTCAGAAGATTGAAGAAAACAGTGTCTGCATGGGCGACGACACTGCCTTGGAATTGTCATGACATTGGCGATCACGTTAGCTTTGCGCACGGGGGAACAGGCCAAAATCGCTCGCATCAAAACACCATGTGGTGCAACATCGCTTTCGATGACAGCGCATGAAATTTGTTCCAGTTTGAGCATAGGACCAACAAAAAGAACTGAAATTGTTGCCTTAAAGCAACGGGTGGTTCACACCCCTAAATCGTTTTTTCCATGCCTTTTTCCAGGCACCCCTCTTCCAAGCAAACCCCTCTTCCAAGCAAACGGCAACGCTTCCGCAGCAACACAAATGGAAAAGTGAACGCAAGGTATGCCACAAACCGGACCAAGTGTGAACACACAAAATTGAAGCAGCTGCCTAAGGTTTGGTATGGCAAGTGCACCATAAGCCGATCAAAAGTTAGGCCAATGACATGAAAGCTGGGGGCACGAAAGAAGAGCAGGGGTTGTGTGGCGTGGAGGCGGGAAAAAGGCAACCAACCAGACGCACCCAAACAAATTGAAGAACGTGAAGCGCCCCAAGCATGCACTACTGGTGGCACATGGCCCCCCGGGCCAGGTTAAGCCATGGTGGTCACCTCCACAAAACTCAGTGGATCCAATGGAAGGTGGCTCTGCAGCACACCAACCACTAGCAAAATGTCCCACAACAATCTCCACGCCAACGTGGCACTTCACAAAAAAAAACGTGATTTGGCGCAGGCCGCCAAGGTTATGTTGGGCATCATTAGCATCACAAAGAGCCAGGATATCATTTGAGTTGCCTTTCCCAAGTACCGTTTTGTGCACTGTGCTGCCGTAGGGACAAGCACGCATATGCTTTGTTCGAAGCAATGAATGTGTGGAACACCATTTACGGTGCCCAAAAACGGTGAGCGAAACGCACCGTAAGTATATATAACCAGTTGCTCGTGGGGACCTTGCTAAGTCCCTGGGAAAAAAATCCGAGCAAAAAACCTTTGCTGGCGCGTTGTTCCCTACCTTTTTGACAAAACGATCACCACCGCACATTTCCCTTGTCGTTCAATCCCTTATTTAATGTTCATGCGTTTTGCCCAGCGGCTCTTGGTTGCTGACGTCATCAAGCGTGAACATGTCATGTTCGATTGCGACATGCCAACCCCCACACATTCTACATCTACAACAAGATGTGGGCATACCCTCTACCCAACAAACAAATTACACCAGCATAAGCCCAGATAGCTTGAACCGGTTGACATGCGGCACAACAATGTGCAATGCACAAGCACTATCCAGTGCCACTATTGACTTTGTAGCATGCTCGAAGCAACGACTTGGAACGATAATACCGTATGACCTTGCGTGTACAATTCTATGCGCACAGCAGCATGCGCACAAGCAGCAAAGCCCGTAGGCTTCACTCGCCCCAGGCCAAGTTTGCTGCGTGATGGTCGCCTGACGTTGCGCACATAGCTTCAGGTGTAGAGAGAACTATGCACGCAAACAGCACAGCCCTTGACACAGCAGTCGGCCAAAACAGAACCTGAAGAGTGTAAATACCCCATAGACAAAGAACGCTCAAGCGACAACACCATATGATGTTGCTTGTGTAAATTTATGCGGCCGATGAGTGCTGGCACTTCAGTGTCAGAGGCGGCATTTGGTCGCCCGTCACTGCTACAAAAGGCGGCTTGCAACCCTTCGCTGTCAGAAGCGACTGGCTGGGATGTTGGCCACACTTCACTGTCCCAAGCGGCAGACCGGCACCCTGCCCCCGGCCACGCAGCCAGCCTCAGCACTCAACATCGCGCGGCACCCTGTTGCCACTGGGGGGCCGCCGGCCAGCAAGGTGGACTTCACCGCCCTCTGCTGCGCGCAGCTCAGCAGCCCCCACCAACGTCGATGCTACCCGGCTTGGGCCGCAGCGCGCACGGCGGGAGGCGCCCAGGGCCCGCACTCATTCCGGCCCCCCACCGGCCGCCGATCTCACAAGCGAACACGACTGGGCCCTAGCGTCCCGGTCAAGTGAGCTCAGGGCACCGGGTTTCTGTGTGGCGTCTGGCGATGTGGAGGTCATGCCCATCGTTGCGCGCGGCTCCCGGGTGGGGGCGGCCGTCGGCTCGCAAAGGGGACACCAAGGCGACATTGCAACAGAGGGCCTCGCCGCTGCGCGAGGTCCAACCATCGCGGGGACAGTGGTGTGGGCTAGCCACTGTTGGGGGACAACCCCAAAATTTGACCCAGGAAGTAAAAACCCCATAGCTGCCGCTATCTGCAAAAATGTTATGTCTGTCTGTGTACAACGAATCAACCATCGGGCGTACCCACGGTAGAACAACATTTTTTTACAATAGGTTCCAATGTTTTCTTTACATCTGCTTTGAAAGCCTCAGGCAGGTCCCAGTCCCCATATCTGTGAGAAATCCATCAAAAACACATTCTTTCAATTGAAACACTTTTGAGGACCACTCCGTGTCTACGGAACCTTGCCCGCAATGCTTTCATGCTTGAGATTTTTGCAACTGGTTTTGCTTATGGGTCCGCCGAAGACACCCGTCGTAACAACGCTGCCTGGCTCCTGTGCACCTTATGGACGTTACAAAAATGTTTCCGGCTGGGGTGCTGTTAGGCTTTTGGAAAGAGTGTTTGATTTCCATGCTTGCAAAGTGCATGATTGAGACATGCGTCCTCTCTTTTTCGCTGCCCCTCTTTCTTGTTTGCTGTAGATGGCTTGGCTTAATCCTTCCCAGCTGCTCTCCTTCGTTGGTCTTCATTGCACAGTTTGTCCGGCTAGTTGTGGCGCACTGTTGCTCCAAAAGTTTTTCGCGCCGATGGTTTCTTGGCCAAGTGGCTCAAAACGAACAAGCCTGGCCGAAGGGTTATCGATGGCTCTTCAACACACGGGTAGTGCTAGCTACTTGTACTAGCCCTTCACAAAATATCAATGCTCAAACAAAAACACATCCACCATGCTTGCAGTGTCTGTGAGGCTGACATTTCACAATGTTGTACCTTCCTGCTCTACATTTTCCCCACTCAGAGGACGCCATCTTTCTGCAAAATTCAACCGCCGCGTGGCTCACAAAAGCTATGGCTACCCTGCAACGGCACTTTCCTGCTCTAAATTTTCGCCTCCCGTGGCTCACAAAAAGGCTTGCTTTGGAATGGCACCTTCCTGCTCTAAATTTTGCCCCGGAGGGAAAAAATAAACAGAAAAACATCTGGAAAAAACAAAACCACGCAACCAAAAAGTTCCAGCAGAAAAAAGAAACAGCGCGAACAAACGCCTGCACGAAATACGCGTAGGAATAAAAAACAGAAGAAAAAATAAATAAACACCCCCCCCAAAAAAAAAAACACTACCTAACATATGAGAACGCGAGAGAGACATAAAAGGCCGCGTGCCGAAAAAAACAAACCAAAAAAGTTCCAGCAAAAAAAAATCACCACCAACAAAGAAACCTCCAGAAGAAAAACAACCAGAAGAAGAAAACACCAACAAAAAAACACAGCCGCAAAAAGAAAATAGAAAAAAATGAAAATCACCGCAAAAACATAAAAAAACGGCCGCAGAACCGCCCGCGTTCCAAATTGAGACCAACCGCCCTCGTTCCAAATTCAGACCAATTGCGCATTCCATGACGAGACCCTTTCCTCAGCCAGCATTTGTGCACAGCAGGCCAAAATACAATATTCCTTCAAAAAACCAGCAACCTCTTTCTTTGCAGGGCTCTGCAGTAAATTGCAAAGTTTCCGCGATGCAAACTTCACATTCGACGGCTCTGCAAACTTGCAACGCATCTCTTGGGCCCAGGAGGTTTGGCGGAGGCTTCCCATGTCAGCACTTCTGTGGCTCTTGAAGTGGCAATGCGGCATGAGTTTGGCATTAAATGTCGCCCTCAACCTTTGGCATGGATGAGAGATTGCCCTGCGCCAAAGAGAAACGACTTTTGTGGTGCTGTGTCAGACGATGGTGCCAACCTCACACAGATGGCACGCTTTGAAAGAGGGCGGCCTGCAGCTTAGGGTCATGTTGAATTGCTGATTCCCATTTGAGAATTCAAACTCACAGCATGATGAAGTTGTGCGCTTTGTGCCGCGGCACGGCGGGTTTTGGCCAGAATTCATTTCGTGTCTGACGGTTTCAGCCAATTCTTGCAAAGTCAGTTCTGCTTCGTTGGAACCACTCCGTGGCAGTGGTGTGGTTGAA